ACCAAAATTTACGAATGTTGACTCCAGGGTATTTGTTGTCGATCGTTACGTACACGTCATTACCAATAGGCACTGATATCTTTACAATGTTTTTTTGTAAATACTCATCTATCTCTGAGGACGTGTTCATCAATGTCTGCCATTGCCGCTCGAAAAACATGATACCATTGGGTGTTGGATATCTATCACTCTTAAAACCGTAACCATACAGTCTGATGTGATAACACACATCTTCTTGCCAAATACATTTTACAACCAAATAATCATTTCCAATATCCTTTCGATACAGGTCGATACTCATGATGTTAATCTCTTGTTTTCAACTTCATAAAACAATTCTACATTTGAACGTGTAATCAACCCCCTTTTATACCTAGATTTTCGAAACTTAAAACCAAAATTTAACTACACCCTGTCACAAATATGTAGATTAAAACTATTGGCTTAGAACAAAATCGACAAAATCACCTGTCAAGCTTAATGGCGGAGGTCATTGTCCCTTAATACAGGTATAGCTACACTTGGCGTGAACTCAATGTAACCTCTACACACCTGCCTATAAAGCGAAATATCTTCCCCCACCCCCCCTACCCTCCAATAAACAATTCGTGGACCCCATACCCTCGTTACAAAAGTCAAACACGATCAAAGAATATAACACCTGCATACCTTTTTTATTATTCATAACCTCATTGTTCAGTCAACAATAACCATATTCAACCTATAAATAGAACACCTGTGGAATGCTCTGACGTCAGACCTTAGGAATGTGTGACGTCAGACCTTTGGAATGTCTGGAATTCCAAAATTGCTCCAGACTACCCTCTCTACTACTATAGGGGATGAATGTCTGTTTTTCCTTGAAGTTTTCACAAAGCATTCTTAGACTAAGTTAAAAATTTACTCAATTTTAAAACTAATAAATAGCCCTTTATAAAACTTTTGTTGTGGGTCTGATTATTTCTGCTGGACAAAATCACATCATATAGATAGTATACAGTTCTAACATTATGTCTTGGTATTCACTTGGCAATGGTATTTTATTAAATGTAAACATAGATACATGGCACGGTTAATTCGTAAATGAAAAAAAAAAAACTTTTCAAACAATAAATAGAGATATTGAAGAATTAAAAAGTAATTAATTATATGGAATTGTGAACCTACGGTATTTCAAATTCATTTTGAATTATGTAATTGGTTTTCATTCTATAAAGGGAGTCAATATGATAATGAATGGAAGCCCTACATGTAAAACACTAAAGCAAACAATCATGTTCCGATAGCCAAGAAATGTGCAAGAAACCGGAAGGCATAAAGAAGGAAGCAGCCTATAAGCGGATAAATGGACGAAGAAGGCTAGGGTTATTTAAACAGACATCAATGTAAGAATGAGAGAGAGAGAGAGAGAGAGAGAGAGAGAGAGAGAGAGAAATGGGGTTTAAAGTCCACTCGACACAAACCAGGCCATTTCGGGACTAACATATGGTTTTTTGGGGGGTTTTTTAAATTTTATTTCAATAATTCGCTTGCGCGTAGGGGTCTTTAGCAGTGGGAGGAAATCGGAGGACCCGGAGAAAACCCACGAGGTTGGACAGGCGACCCTACTCCTTGTCACGTACACTTTATGATACAGCGCGCGCACGCTAACCATTCAGCCACCCCCCCCCCCCCTATGCATGAATGACAAATTATTGTTATGTGTAACAATAATGTAATAATACTACTGTACGTATTAATCTTAGCATCCACTGCAGTGAATATCAAACAGATACCCACGCAGCAGCGATGTCTCGAACTAAAGCCATGAAAAGCAATTTATTCAAAAATAAAACTTGGATGTTGTTTGCCATAAAGCAAACGGATCTCTCTCGTATTCACAAGCTTTTCCGGACACGTAATAGCTCTGGAAAAGAAAGTCGTACAATGATGAATATCAACCGTGGTCATCCCCCCACCCCCCACATCCGCAATGCTTCGCACCAAATTTGAAAATCAATCAGTTTAATCCTCCGGCTGAAAAACAGTACTCAATAGGGTTCATCCCGTTACAGTCATAACGCTTCACACCAAATTTGAAAAGGAAATCCATTAAAACCCGTAGCCCCTATCTTGCTAACAAACCAATTGTTGTCACACGGACCGATGAGCTGACAAGGGCGATGCAATTTTCAAAATGTTCAGGGGAGCGGCCCCGAACCCCCGTCGCAGGGCCCATCGGAACGAGTCGCCTCCGTTGGCCGATATCTTACTCCGCTCCTGATTATACAACCAACCAGAGTAAAATATAACGCTTTTTTGGGCCATGGCTTTAAACTGTTTGAAATATATGTGATTTGTATCCTCGTCGAGGTCAAGATACTCTCTAAACACTATTTGTTGTTTTTTGGGATTTTTTTTTTATAAATCTTCTAAGTAGTTTTTAGTATCCATATGTTCTGCCCTTATTTGCCTATATAATATAATATATATTATATTTAACGTCATGTTAGCAGTTCGTGTGCAGTGCAACATATATGGGCGCACCTATCACGGGAATATAAATACCTAATCTACATAGAATCGTGCTAATTTAAGCTGTTATGAAATTTCTTTTGTTATCTCTCACATTATACATTTGTAATAGAAATACTAGAGTTTATAGATTTAAACTATACATTGTTATTCGAGCGAAGATTAGTCGGGATAAATATCGATCATAGGCCTATACTCAATTTTTAATAAGGATAGGGTATTCTTTGTACAAGTATAGATATTAAAGATACATTATGGGAGATAAGATAAAGAGATGGCAGTTCTCTCTATAATAGTTAAAAACTAGATAGTGTAAAGGTAATTTGCTGAAAATTTCAGTCGAATTGATCCACTATGAGCCGAGAAAGAAGCGGGTGAAATTTTTGCATAGTCTCGGTCATCATTACTAAAATCATTTATATAAACAGCATAGTATCGATTATCCACTTTTATTGATTTAATTATCAATAGCCGTTAGCGGCATATAGGAATCTAATCCAGCCAACATCGAAGGCTAGCCTTGACATCGAGAGTTTATTATGGTCTGGATAAGTTAATTAATGTCTAATTGATAATTTAGATAACATTTCAGGCCTAAAAAAAGACTTGTAATAAGCAGATTTTGCTCTTGCATAATGCATGTTTAAATGACGAAAAAGAAAGATATAGCCCAGTTAGCTTGCGTGAATCAAATCAGAATACGTAACAGGCATATTATATACGTATGAGGAAGGGGTCGAGTGCAATCTGTTTCACAGCGCAAATGCGAAAGCCTTCGTTTAACTCTGTGAAATATGAATGACCTTTAAAGGGACCATCCCGATTATAACAGAGTCACAGAAATAAAAGTCTGTGTACGTATGAAAGTTCAGCGCCAAAATATAGTGGAATGGTGTATTTACCTTGTCTCAAAATTTCAGTTCAAAATATGTAGTTGTTTGGACGTTAACCTCAAAGTTGCTTAACCGGACACGTAACCCGTTTAAGATTTTGGGTCAATTTTTTCGTTGGGTAAACTGATAATCTATTGCCGTTCCTTTAGAGGTCTGTACAGTACGTGCATGACCCACGTGCTGTACTTGATAACGAAGGGTAAAAGTCTGGTTTTATCCATGGAGGTGTATACCTCTATGGCTTTATCCTGGCACTGTATAATACAGCTTAGGACACAGGTCTCAATTTCCAGATGAAGACTGGCGGGTTTAAGTTGTTTGAAAGCGTATCCCGTATATTCAGTTGGTTGCTCGGCCCTAAGGTTGAGGATTTTAAGGGCTTTTAACACAAAATTAAACAGTTTCATTCTCCAAAATATATTCGAGATTGGCCCTTTAAGTTCACGTGCAATATAGGTCTCCGGGTGACGTCACGCCATACGGCCTCAATAACGCGTGCATTGTTTACAAACTGGTTCGATCAGAATTGGTGCCTTTACTCATTTTACGCCTTCGCGTACTATTTTAATGTATGTACCTAAACACTAATAGGAAATATTGTTTAGCCCGACATTGTTAACGTTCAGTCCCCCCTTTTTATTAGAACACGATGTCCAAAAAATCGGACATATACCAGAACATTAAACTTCCGAATGTGCACACTTCGTGCAGCGAGCAACTTTTTTTCGAGTACATGAAAACGGTTATACCTTTGCATATACCTATTTCGCTGTCGGAAACGCGTAAATGGGCCTAAGATCAGGCATTGGGTCATTGTGATAAGGAGTCTGTTTTGTCCCCGCCCCCCTCCCCCACTGTTAAGTCTTCTACGCGCAAGCTGTTGAAATAATGTTCCGAAATGACCTGGTAGGGGTCGAGTGGACGTTAAAACGAGTGGTTTGATAAAACGTTGCGATCACACCACATGGTTATGCAGATACCACCACATTATGTTAGTTTAGAAATCTATCTGAAAACTGGTTTCTTCTGTCCAGTTATCACACTTGATTGGGAAAATATTTCACGTGGAATTACACAGCTTACACTTTCTAATTGTAGGCTACTGTCTCTTTATGCTGTTTGCAATGTTACATGAGCGGGAAATTAAAGGTTTTAGGGCTGTTTCTTCACTGGTTGTTGTTTATGTTTGTAATGTCTCTATGTAATTTGTGTGTCCGGTTCATACAGGTCAATTAATGCACCTCTCTGGGTCCATAACAAGTGTCCGCAGGTTTGGCTAATGTGGTTTGTATGTGAGCAGCGCGATTCTCCCACACTAGATATAATACAATCTTATCTGTCCATCTTTTGAAATAAGGTATACAATTAGGCCTAATGGATCTGTCAGTTGTACAGGTGTCGGGTCCTTGACATGGAAGTGAAAAAATTCAAAATGTGTAATAAAATGGCTGATCATCCTGTTAGAGATAATTATTATGTTAGTGAGATACTCTTGAGCCCAGATTAACACTGCACGTGATATGAAAGGCGCGCCAGCTGGGACAAAATTAGTCTCGAACATTCTCTATTGTTCAGGTTCGGTTATTAAAATCTACACAGTGTTGCAATTCACAGAGTGACTGGTTAGACGAGACACACTTCGCTGTAGAACTGAATATCAAAATGGCGTCGGGATCTGGTGTTTCAAAGAATATGGAGACGTGGAAAGCTAAACTGGATAAACTGCTTCACGAGAAGAATGTAGTTACAGACTTACTAGCAAAATTAGAAGCAAAGACTGGCGTCAAAAGATTATATTTTGCTATAGGTAATATCTGCCTTTATCCAATGACAAAATCTTAATCTCAGTATTTTTCTCTCCCCCTTTTTTTTTTATTTGCTGTAGTGTTGTAGGCCTACTTTAATCTACGGTACTTGTGTTGCACTTCGTGACTTCATTTCTATTTATCTGCACTGCAACACCCTCATAACATAAGTCATATCATTTATAGACCTAGTGATCACTTCAATTTTTTCAGAGTTATAATTAGTAGGAAATTAGCAGAAGTTGCATGGTAGGCCTATTGGTAAATTGGAATGTTATTTTTGTTGAAACCGGAATGTATAATTAATAATAAAGGATAAAGTTCATAAAGGAACAAATTAGTGTAACTCAATATTTTCCATAAAATTTGAAATTAAAATCACGAAGTAGAATTCACTATTGGTCAATTTCAATAAATATTGATGTAGCCTATATTATGTAGTTATCTTGCCGTGAAAATATAGGATCCTAATTATATCCAGTATTAATTAACATTTTAGAATCAGTACACTCGGTAGGCACACCTGAGTCGTGTAGGCTATTCTATGGTTTCGGATGCCATTTTGTAATGGACAAATAAAAACATATCCTACACGACAATGTGGAAGTAGTTATACAGATACATACATATGTAGGTCACAATTCTTTGGAATACAATTAATGCTTATGGGTGAGCGACGTTTTGATCAGTCATAAGCAGTACATGTAACTGTATTCCATAGATTTGTGACCTGTATATTCCAGTTCAATTACTAAATGCCATTGAACTCAAAACCATTTAGAAGTAATTAGTAAAGGCTGATTCAATGACACCGGGTTGCTATAGCTCAGCTTAGCCAATATTCCAAATTTGGGAATGATATTTTAATATTGCAGCTCAATAGGGATGAACAGGAATGGTGAGAGGACATCATCCCATCAGAGACCTTCCTAATGGAACTTATAGCTGTATAACATTATTAACAATATCAGTCAATGACAATAGGCTACTAGTTAAAAGGTTACAAAACTACACAATACTGACTGAGACAATACAATGTGTTGGAATAAAGTTAGTGGAAGGATTTTAGAACTGCTCATTGTTTTTATTACTCGGTCTTGAAGTAAATTGAAATCTTATGATTTAAAAAGTCGATGTCTGAGATATAGTAAACATAGTTAACTTTTTGAATTTTTGTGTATACATGTACAGTATATCTTTACATGAATATTGACTTGTTAAGCAGCACAATGTATAGGAATTAATTCACCGCGAACTACAAGTAGTTTGATATTGATAGTCACCAAAAGAGTAAGCTTCCATTACACTATACCCCGTCTTCATTAGCCCAGTTCGGAGCAAAACAGTAGGACGTTAAACCCCATTTCATTTCATTTTATTTCCATTACACTATACATGTACATATTCGGTACACCAGCAGATAACTTTTTTGTTCTATTTTACAGGTTTCATTGTGCTCGTTGCATTATATTTAATGATTGGCTATGGAGCCCAGTTTCTGTGTAATTTCATTGGCTTCTTATATCCAGCTTATGCGTCGTAAGTAATCTTATATAATCAGTTTATAATACCGTAGATTAAATATGGTGTTCATTATGATTCTACATTAAACACAGGTGATCCCCATGTTAATCATCCTACATGAGATTATTATGTAACCCATATACCCAGACACTATTTTAATTATTGGGAATAGTAGCTCAGGGATCAATTATATATTACGGGTACCAACATACGATCAGTTATAGAATCAATCTGATTAAAACACAGATCCTATTTCGTTTGTTTTTAATAGTTCAAAATTTCGTTTTACTTGTCTTTACTACACTAGGATCTTGAAGAGTTGTTATTACTGGTTGAAATGAAGGATTAGCCAATGAAACGGTCTGTTATGGCGAATTCTTGGTGTGGCGATGCACGGAATTGTGGGTAAACCACTGGAAATGTCAACACCGATTGATTAATCAATGTCTGATGTCATAGGGTCAAAAGCCTCTTACGACCCCTGACGTGACCTTCCAGTACAATCAGTCAGATCTTTATGTAGTGTAGGTCATCGAAATTATAAAAAAACACAAAAACAAAATATAGATCTGTATTTTAATCAGATTGCTATAGAATTAATTACAGTGAAATTATATTCCCCATAATTTGAATATTTTGATTTTAACATTGTTACAGTGCCAATTATCCACATCTGTTTTATCATTTTTATAGAGTGAAAGCTGTAGAAAGTTCTCGTAAGGATGATGATACTCAGTGGCTCACCTATTGGGTGGTTTACAGTGCATTCAGCTTAACAGAATTTTTTGCAGACATATTCCTGTTCTGGATACCATTTTATTGGTTCCTAAAGGTTTGTTATTCTATGTAGTCCAGCTTATTAAAGATACATTATGGGAGATTTTTATAGAGAGTTGGCCATTCTTGCTATAACAGTTCAAAAGTAGATGATGAAAGAAGAATATATTGAAAATTTCAGTCAAATTACTTTATTCTGAACATAGTTATCATCGTTGTAATATTTGACTAGAAATGGTAGTGAAATGTGCCTTTACCTTGGCCAATCGTTTGATTGACAGGCGTTAACTCCACCTTCATATCTCGATTATCAAGTAAAGTTTTCAATGGCATGCGGAAACGCTCTACAGCGGCCTCGCTAAGTACACTCTATCATTTAGCCTCGATCTAACTGACGTATTCTCATCAGGGTGTGCGCCATATTTGAATTAATTAATAAGTGAAATCCTGTTTAAATCTGAGCTGTAGCCGAGCCATCCGTTGGTCTACAGAGTTGATTTTGGGCTTGTTGTTTAAATAAAGATCTAATTTATAATTTCTATAACATCTGAAGCCTAAATTAAGACTTGCAATAATCAGATTTTGCTCTTGCATAATGTATGTTTAATGGAGACTGTTATACAAGATTATTTCAATAGTGTACTGATATTAATGACTTGAGTTTGGTTGGCATATCTTACAGTATAATTAAAGAGTTAACCTGTAAACATGTCAGTGTTGACATTAATTGATACACATTACACAATTACCTGATTATTGTCATGTGATGTAAAACAAAAGTACACCAACTGATGTAATATTTGAGGTCTGTCCAATGGAGGGTTAATCTAGCTGGTTCTTAACCTGTTCTTAAAACACTTTTAAATTATGAAACTCTGAAAATATATATACATGTATATATATATGCTGCCATGGCAAAATTTGCATATTGTGAGATGAAACAAATTGAAGTTACAACCGACATTCTTTATAACAAATTCTGATATAGCTTTGGGCAAAAATAAAGTCATTTTTTTTTCTTCAGTGTGCATTTTTGGTATGGTGTATGGCCCCTATACCAAGCAATGGCTCTGACATGTTGTACAAGAAATTCATTCGGCCCTTTATCCTCCGACATCAGGAAAAAATAGACAAAGCTCTTGATGAGGCTAAAGAAACAATCCAAGAAGGTAAAGCATCCATTTTCTAAAAATAATTCAACTTTTGTTCCTTGTGTATGTTTTGTAATGATTATTGCAACATTATTTTTAACTGTACCGGTATTTATTTATTTATGCATGACTGTGAAAACAATACTCTATTTTTAATGTCTCATGAATTCATGAACTTATTATTAAATTTAAGCTCCCATGTTTTTGATCCTGTTAGAATTTATTGGAAACAGACCCTATTGTGATATTTGACCCTATTGTGATATTTGACTTATAAGTTACTTAATATACATGTACCTAGTTGGTATGTCACAATATCCGTGCAATACTGATAAGATGTAAACATATTTTCATCATTGGTTGAATCTGTATTTTGCTTGTTATATGTTTAGCTTCCAAATAATTGTTTAATTAGTTAGTGATTATTCTTTAGTTTATTTAAATTTTTATTATGTAGTAGCTCAATTCAATTTCTTGCAAAATTATTTTGATTTCAATTTTATCAGTTTTTGGATATGCCAAGAAACAAATTGGCGAGGGTAAGTGATGAATTTTCAAGAGACACTTTGGGCAAATTCAGGTTCTGGTTCTGATTCAGATACAATTTAAAATATATCTAATCTTTTAATTAATATTTTTTGGACCATTTTGTATTTCACTGAATTACTTAAGCTTGATCACTTTAAATGGCTAGGTCTAATTTTAAGTTAAATGTGTTTCATCTTTTATGTTTATGTTTTGTTTTTGCTATTTATGTTTTCACTTTCCCTTTGTCTTTGTGTTCACTTTCATTGTTTGTTTAAATTACATAAAATGTAGGCTAAAGGGGGCACAGAATTCTATTGAATTTCTTTTCGTAAAATGATTTTTAGTATCTTATTTCATTGGAATGTGAAAATTCATAATTAAACACCAGAATGAAAGCATTGATGGAGCTATGATGAATATATTTGCATACAATGCATTTAAATATAGTATCTTCATTGTATATGAGAATTATGCTGCATGACCATTATGTAGCTAAAATGCATTTATAGAATTTCAATGTGGAAAGCTTATTGATATTAAGTTAAAGACAACAATAGTGGAAAATATGTTTTCAGTTTACAAAAGCAAGAGTTGGCCTGCTTTTATACATGAAACCTGCTGCATTTTAGAAAGGCTTTCATTTTATTATAGTGAATAACTTTATAGTCATTTCTTTACATACATTATTCCCTCTTAATTCCCTTATACCAGTTTAATAAAAACTAAAAGTCAATTCTTTTTGGGTGCACATATGTACTTAGGTTATTAGATTTTGATTTGTAAAATAAAAACACAAGCTGATTTCCAAATTATTATAACCATGTCCACAAATGTATCGTGAATTATTCTCAAAAACGTGTCTGCTTTATACATCTACATGTAGCTAGATGTTCCGGTTCAATGTTTGGTTTAGGTTTAACACGTAGCGATAAGAGTTGATTGTACATGTTGCAACTACCTATGGATGATGAGTACATATTGAAATAGGAAGTAAATACCAAAATGATGTAATTGAACTTTGAACCCAAACCTGATCTTAAGAATTTCCCACTGAGATCATAAACTAAGTATATAAAAGTAATAATGTAAATAATCCATAGAGTGAACATAACTGTGGAAGTACCTTTTTATTATCACCAAGAAATTAAAAACAAAATAATCTAAACTAGCCTGTGATATATTAAAATGATAGTTAGCAATTAGCATATCATAACCCAAACACTCCCATGCGCAAAACAATATATATTGCTACAGTGTTGTTTAAATTCCTTGCTTTTGTGGTTTGTTTGGTTGAGAAACCATTCATCAAGTGTATCAGATGGGTCTGTATTTCTGCGTGCATTCTAAATACAATACATGTTAAATGAAAATTTATATTTTCCTGATTCAACTCATCATAAAGAATATTTAGTGTATCAGTCTTAACATGTCATCTGACATAGCTTTGAACAGCTAAATAGTACCTGTAGATCACAATTATGAATATGACAAATAGTATAAGATACTAGTAATAATGATATAAATATGGTTATCACATTGACATTATTTCCAGGTGCACAAGTGCTTGTCACTATTAACACTATGGATAATTGCCCTTTAATATGTTATGAAATGGACAAGGTAGGAAATTCATAAGGACCAAAAACAGAACTTACTTTTGGCCCTTATTAAGTTTCTGCATGTCCAATTACAGTCTGGACAATATGTATGTATGTATGTATAACTTTGTAGTATGAGATAACTGGTTGTGATACATTTATATTGTGTATTTTGTAGCACGTGAAGCAGGAGAAGGTGCATTAAATGAAGAAGCAGTAAGAAGAGTGATAAATCAAGCTAAAGTGGATTAAAATCCAAGAAGCTGGATGTATACTGCTCAAAGCACAGACCTGTACCATGACAGTTACTCTTAAACACAGATACAGGAAGTGTACAGTACCATCATTATTTTTTTTTTTATATATTTTACACATGCTATTGCATCCCTTACTAAAATAAAACCCTGATGTACCAATTGATTGATGATAGTAAACTGTCTGTGTCTCTTTGGTCTACAGTATTCCATTATTGTGTGAATGTTAATATCTTCTACATATTCGTCTCTTCAACCTTGTTGATTGTATGGAATGTTTTACTTTTAGAAATTAAGTTTTATGGAAAAAGATCAGCACAAGCATATATGAAATATGAATCTGATTTATGTTTAAGTAGGGTAATGTTTTCATCGTCTCGCCTCCCAAGTGTGGCTAATGTTAAATTTGTAATATGTAGTGAATGATTATTGTAAATATTAAATATAAAATAAGTTTATTACTGTAAATATTAAATATTTTCTAAGTAATTTCACGTTATATTATATAAAGCTTTCAGTTTGTTAATGTTGGCTTCTGTTAAACACATGCATGTACATGTACTGCCTTATACATATTTAAATTATAAATGTTATACAAACATATGTAAATTATTTATGGAATTGAAAGTAAGCTATTCATGTTATTTTAGTAGTATCAATGGGTTTAAACTTTTGTAGATGGACAAATAATTTGATTTACAATCTCCCGATTAAAATTATTTATTTGATATTAATTAAATGGAGAAGGAAAATTACAAATTAAATTTCAGACGGTTTTGACATTATCTTGATGGACTAATTATTATTAATCAGTATATATTTATAAGGACAGTTATGTTAATCTTGGGTCAGTAGATATATTAAGCTAAATGATATAAATGAAGATAGTTCTTAGTATTTGTAGACTCAGTTTCATCTTGAATTTCATTACACCACTGTCTACAACATATTCCATGGTGTCGGGTTCATTCTTCTTCAAGTAGAGGTTTTACATCTGCTTCCACCTAGGGTGATATCGCATACAATGGCGTGTTCATATCCAGAATAAACTAAAGCGCCTGGTATGACACGGATGAAAATTGTTCAGCTTGGTGTTGCAATGGTGTTGATTCATTCATTTATTATTCCCATTTCATTATATTAATAAGTAATTTTTATGCACATTATAGAAGGTGAGTTAGAATTATATCAGATAGTTTTTTTCGTCTTTCATTTGGAAAAATTATACCAAATATTAACATTCAGGAGACATGTAGAATTAGTTCTGCACCTTATTGATTTTGGAAATGAAATTGTCAGGTTAAAGTATAATTAATCTTAGTATGATTGTATCAAACTAACATAATAGTATAATTTATTTGGTGTATGTTGTGGAGTCTTTTTTTCTTATTTTGTCATTAAAGAATTCTCCTTTTATTTTATTTTACCTTTATCCCCATCACATGAATTTGCAAGTAAAGCAGACCAACATTAGCATATTTACAAATTCCCCCCATCCCTCTGTGCTCCGAGGCAAATGTCAACCAATGCATTCATGGACTTGACTAAAGTCAAGAGAAAAACAATGGTTTTTGGATGCCTTTTTTCAAAATTCTGCATACAAATAGCAGAATTTTATCATATGAGCTCTGCATTTATTATAAGCAAAGGTGCCCAATATGTTAATTGGGAATAGGCTTGATATAAATTGGGTTTATATACAGCAAAGTATAGAAAATCTTTGTTTCATAATGGGGGGGGTGGGGTTGGTTGGCCGAATGGTTAGCATGTGCGCACTGTATCATAAAGTCTGTCATTGAGTCAACTGGCGTGGTTTCGAATCCCCGGTTGTACGTGATAAGGAGTAGGGTCGCCGGTCCAACCTCGTGGGTTTTCTCCGGTTTCCTCCGACTGTTAAAGACCCCTGTGCGCAAGCGAATTATTGAAATAAAATTAAACCATATGTTAGTCCCCAAATGACCTAGTTTATGTCGAGTGGGCGTTAAATCGAACTCGGAATGTTTTAAAATGTCCGGCAAAACCAGGTGTGAAATAAACCTGGGTGTTTAGTATACAGCTCAAGTTTAGAAAACGGTATGAAAAGGTTGTAAAACTGTCCCTTTTACCAGGCTTAATAATAATAAAAGAAAACAGGTTGCCAACATAACATGCAGCTATGTTGTCAAAATTGTCCCATATTTATTGTTTTGTTGGTAAACGGAGCATTTAATTAAAATGCACTAAAAATTGATCAACATGTACCAGTTTGAGTTATCAGGGATTGTTTAAAATTAATAGGATTCATCTCAAATCAATCGAAAAACAACTCTATTTGCTGGAGGGGCCACAAGATTTTAAAAAGATCAACGGTAATAACTAAAAAAAAGTAATTCTAGACTTCATATATCGGGAACCATATGTAAACACTGTATAAATTTAAAGTCAATCGGATGATAGCCTTTACATTCTTTACAATATCCAACCATATTAACCAATTATATTTTATTCACTACCAATATAACAACTAAGTAATAATTTGAACAGTTTTATTTTTTCTTCAAAAAAAGTAAATGATACTGTGTATAAATATAGGATTTTGTTAGTCTACAAAATTCAACAATTCTTCATTCACATGTATTTACATCTGAAAGACCTGCAGGTATATGCATTAAGTAACAATACTCTTAATCTTCGATCTTGGTGAAAACCACAAAATCCTATTCCTCATGAATGGAAATTGTGGTAAAATCAATTACAAGTGAAATACATAAACCAGTGCTGCTGGAAATGAAAGTAAGGTAAATATGAATATATGATGATAGGTGTGAGTTAATAGTAACGATAATTAGGCGGAATGTGACTTGAGTTAAATTCAGCTTAGATGACAGATATATTTTAAAGAATGTAACCGGTTGGAAATACTTTTGTACATGAGAATAATTAATACCGTAGGCACAAAAGATATCAAATACAACGAATCTGGATTATAAAATCACATTTTCCTACATTTTTGTATTGAGCACTTTTTGAAGGACATTTAAACGCATTATGACAGACACTATTATAGACTAAAAGTAATTAGCTATAGTCCCCCAACTGTGAACCCAAGGTGATATTCTCATAAATGCATTTTCTTTATATATCAGCCATCACAAATGTCCATTATAATATTACGTCCATATTGCTGAACGTAAAATTGCATATATCTAAATTTTATTTACAAAGCAATTTAAAGTTATAAAATAGTAAGTACTAGCTTTTTTCACACTCTTCCATACATTTTTTCATATATTCCCTCATGTTAGACATATCATTGAGGGTAGACTGGACCATATTTTGAAATATCTGTGGCCATAATCGAAATAATTCTTTTTGTTTTTTGTCATTAAATACTGCTTCATTTGAAAAACTTTTAATCATATTCCTGGCAAGCTGTCTTTTAGCTTCTTGATCCTGTAAGACATAAATAAAAAAAGTTCTTAAGTTTAAAATCTAGCCTGGACAAATGTTTTTAAAGTGAAGATCAGGTCAAAAATCTGAAAATCTGTGACATGATGTAGTGTTCATATTCGTGTACACTACCATCATGCTTTTTAAGAGAGGTTTCACATAGACTGATGTCTTCTCCAGGCAACAAATACACACCACCTATGAACATATAAAAATGCTAAATGATCAAACTGTATCCACAGGTATTCAATTGTAGAATAACCTTGCTGAATAATGCATATAGGTTGGTGTGTTAGTTACAACAATTTTATGGCCAAGTTCATATAAGTGTTATATCACAAGCCTTGTCATAACAACTAGACCAAATTATTCTATGTGTGTGGTTTAATGGTTGAGAGCGAGATATTGAGTAATATATTGAAAGGGCATCAAACAACTTAAAATATACTGCACAAGCATTTCTGAGAATTTGTTACACAAGTCAAATATCTCATCTAGTATAAATAACATATGATTGCCATGTTGCCCATACATTATTTGAAGTAATGGTACACCGGCATCAAAAGATGATGTCACATCTGTATTTTATATGCTAATAAAGCGGCGTCGAAATTCGCCTAGTGTGTCCACTGTCATTTGGCCAAATGATTCGCCCGAATCAAACAGGCTTGATACATTCGCCTGATGTCCGCTTCGCCGGAACATTCGGCCGAATGTAGAATTCGTTAGCCAATCACCACTCATCATCCACTCATATCGAGAAGTAACATGATTGTTTGAAGACACAGATGCCGCTATGTTTAATCATGTGACGTCAAAGGTAATGCAATCGACTGGTGAATCAGGCGAAGCATTCGGCTAGTGTGCCAAACCCATTTGGCCAAACAATTTGTCTGAATGATTTGGCTAATGTGTCCACTGCTTAAGGTATGTAGCTGTTACAAATACCTGATGTTTGGCTGTATTATCAGAACTTTGGTATGTTAAACCGGCTCTACCAACAAATTCTCCCTGAGCTTTCTCTGCCTGTTTATCACCTTTTCTAGATTTATCTTCACTTAAAGCCAGCAATTGTTTCTTCCTACAAAAAATAAAGATTAATAAATAAAACACTGCACATAAATCGTACAAGCAGTCCATAAGTTGTTGCATATTTATTTGGTAGGATTTACAAGATACAAGAAACTGTGCAACAACCCATGAAATAATTATCAGAAATGATAAAAATTTGATAGAGCTAACGTAAAACATGTTAACAACATTAGCTGTTCAATTTGTCGAAAATCATTGAGAATATGGGTTTTCATACAAACTGTGTTAAAATCAGACAATAACATTAAACTGTCCACAAGGGCCCCAAATCTGCAACTAATGAACAAAATTTGTAGAAAATCAAATCATCTCATGAATATATCATAAACTTTGTATAAATTTAATGTCAACTGGTCGATAATTTAAGCCTCTAAAAGTCGTATCATTTCAAGAGTATTTCTAGATGCATCATCAGATTATATCTTGTACTGGTTATTATGTGAATTTTAATACATACAAACCTTGTTTCACCAAGTAGTGACAATAATCGAGATTGTGGTAACTGGGATGTGGTAATATGAGATAATGGTCCAAATAATTTTTCCGCATTAACTATATCTGTAGGACTGACCTGAAATTAAATACCTTCTTTGAATATCCCAAAACATCACAGCGAAAAATCAGATCATTAACCCATTAGAAATGAAATGGGGTTTGACGTTCTACTTTTCTGCTGGACCCGGGCATATTTGTCCAGACAGAGGCATTACATTGAACCTCGGTTTGTTCCATGCGAGACCCTTTGTCCTGCATCACTGACAAGGAGTAACCACATCAAAATATTCTGAGAAACTTTCTCGGTTAACACTGGGATCAAAACCAGGACCTCCAGGTTAGCAAGCCAGCACCTTACTCACTGAGCCACCCACGAGCTCCCTCAAACAATTAGACAATGTTTTAAAATCACATATTTGATCACTTTACATTTGTTCGAACAAAGAGTCAAGTTGTTATACTTACCACCACATCGTTGATCTTTTTCAATGAGAAATGAGCCAATCGAAATATAGTATACATTCTCCATAACGTGAATTTAGTAACCGGATTACCATCAAGATCTATTGTTAAATTATCTAATCGTCTGACTTGAGACAAAGCATTGATTTGCTGTAGACTGTGTATATTTGTAGCACTAAAAACTAGGGTCTGAAAATAAAATGTTTTCATATTTTAACAATTATTGCCCCTACATTACGCTGTATGTATATTGATGATTGAGAGCTTTGAGATTTTGAACCCCTTGCAAATTACAATATTGTGAAACTTTAATCTCTTAAAAAAAAAAATTCAGTTCTGTTCAGTATATACAAAGATATGATGACAATTTCACAATAGTCTGAATAATCTATCTGCAGATAAATGAAATGAACTGAAATGGGGTTTTAACGTCCTAATGTTTTGCTCCGACTGGGCAAATGAAGATGAGCATACACGATGCAGCGTGCTACGAGGGAAAATTTGCCTGGACAGAGGCGCTACGGCCTACTTTTATACCGAATTCCAACTGCCAAGGGATCATTTACGTGCACGCTATGACTAGACAACAGTCCTTGTCAGGCCCTCTGTTCTGCACCACTGACAAGAGGAAACCATGCCGGGAAAATCACGATGAACTTTCTTGGTCAACACAAGGATTGAACCCGCAACCTCCAGGCTAGCAAGCCATTGCCTTACTTACTTAGTCACCATGGCTCCTATCTGCAGATAAACGAGCCAGTCTAACAACCTAAATGCATTAGGTAAAAAAAACATTTCATGGGCCTCTTTAATGTAAATTATTTTCTCTGATTTCTATTTCTATTTGGATCTTTAACATATCCTATTTCAAATTGATAGAATTTGGTCTTTTAGACACCCAATATGAATATTACCTGTGTGGCAGGAAATCTTGTTCTCACTTTATGTAACATTTTAGCAACTTGTTCAAAATCTACAAATTTAAATACAACTGTTGTTATAGCTCCAGCTGCTTGTATTCCCCAGTTTCTCTCTATATTCTCTAATGCTTGACTACCGTATAATGTTAATGTATCACCATCTATATCAGCATATTCACTAACTTCTTTACTTAATCCTGCTCTCTGACTGTTTAAACAAAAAAACAAAAAAAATTAATATTATCAAACACCAAGTCCAACAATCCCTTTTTAATTTTGCATAATATTTACAAATATTCTTACAAATATATATTTAAAGTCAATTGAATATTAACTGTAGCCTCTAGTGCATCCACAAGATTTCTCAAGTAATCAAGGGGTCATAACTCTGGCAGTAATTATTGGAAATAGTTGAAAAGCTATAGGATTTAAAGTCAATCGGATATTAACTTTAGCCCTTAGAGCGTCCACAAGATTTTTCTAAGTGATTAAGGGCCATAACTCTGGCAGTAACCATCGGAAATTGTTGAAAATCAATAGGCTTCTTTGTCTCATGACCATCAGCACTGTGTATAAATTTAAAGTCAATCTGGTATTAACTTCAGTCAAGGGCCATAACTCAGGTATTAATTATCAGAAATTGTTACAAATCAATAGAATTCTTCGTCTCCTGACCTTAAACACTGTGTATAAATTTAAAGCCAATTAGATATTAACTGAATGTGGACATATAAAAAGTAATAATTTCATTACAAAATTAAATTTACCTATAAACAATGGTTTCTTTAAGAGCTGATTTATCTGTTTTACGAACAGCAGTTCGTGAACGTTCATTAGCTGTAATAGTTGATGAACTTTCTATAGAGAACTCAGTCATATTACTGTGAGCACTTTCTGGACGGGAAGACTTTCCACTTCTTTTGTCACTGCGAATAAAAGCTCTAAATTAGTATTGATTGTGTTATAGTGTGGGAATGTGTATGGCTGGGATACATACATGAATACTTAGTAACTTTTGTTATGTTCAATAATAATAATCAGTTTACGGTTCCATAATAATCAAATTAATGTTCAATATTAATTCACCAATTAATCAAATTAAGGTTCCATATTAATCAAATTTATATCAAAATAATAATTCAACAATTAATCAAGTTAATGTTCCATAATAATCAAATTCCTGTTCAATTATAAGTAATCAATTGATCAAATTAAGGTTCCATAATAATCATATTTATGTTCAATAATAATTAATAAAATTTATGTTCCACAATAATCAAATTAAGGTTTAATAATAATAATCAAATTAAGATTTAATATAATTAAATTAAAGATGGGTTATGTAAGAGCTAAATCAGACAATTGCAGGTCTTTCTTTTGGCTTCAAATGTTATATAAATTATTATTCATTATATTAACATGACAAGCTTATAATCAACTCTCTAGATCATCGGATGGCCAAGATTTAAATGGATTTAGAAATTCTTGAATTTAAAAATTTACCAATAAAATGGACAATCGAGGCTAAGTCTTGGTTGTCAAGTACTTTTGCTATGATAATGAACTATCTACACTAATATCTTCAAACTGTCATAACTTCACTCAGAATTAAGTAAACTCAATGAAATTTTCAATATATTCAGTTTTCATTATCTAAATCATACATAATGCATTTTTAAGGTTCCACAATAATCAAATTAAGGTACAATACTAATCAAATTAAAATTAGGTTCAAAACAAAAAAATCTACATTGAGCGAGGTAAGTAGTCACACTACCCCAAGTAACACTGTATAATCTATACCTCAAAATGTTACACATTAACAATCAATCTTCTTGAATAATAAAATTACATCTGAATTCATAGATTTGATTTCTGTGTATTTGCCATTTATTTGTGACCAAATTTGCTAAATACTTCTGACCATCTATCCTTTTTGAGAATGAAAATCAAACTTTACCTCATAATAGATTCACAGTCGTCTCGTTCTTCACTCTGTGGACTAGTTGACAAAAGATAAGAATTCTTCACAGTACCAATGTGGTTAGCAAATAATTCAGGCATAGGTGATGTCCTCACCATCTTTGATGTTTTCGACATATTGGAACCTTGCGTTAACTCCCAGTTTCTTTTAACATTGGTTATTGCCAGTCTTCTTTTTTCCTTTAATAAAATCAAATAGTTTAGCCCATTGGTATTACTGAGTGGAGAGAATTACCTGACTTTATTTGTTCTCCAAATAAAGAGTTAAAATGTTGAGGGAAAAAGTTGTATTTAATTGATAACTTATTAGGATTTGAATGAATCTACCTTCATGACAGCTAGTTTATTAGTCTCTCGTCTTTTTTCTGCTTCTTTTCTGGCCATTACTAGAGCTATTCTTCTCTCTTCTTCCTACAATAAACACATATACACTATACAACCTGTTATTGGATCATCAATTAGCTATGGTCTATACCCTAGTACTGCATTCTGGGCAGAGAGCTCCAATTATTAGATAGTCAATATGGACATATTAGAAGTTTCTGCCAGCAATGTCACCAAGCCTTGATATAAGCCACCTGTTCCAGATAATGTCTGGCACAAATCAAAACATTGTCAGGCATCGATACCTGTCGAATATAGATCTATTTGGAGTCTAGAACAGATTTGTCTCTTTTCAGTATATTTATTAATACCTTTGATACATGTCACATACTAGTGTCTGACATATTGTCACCCACAACTAAAATCAATATTTCTGTGCCTAAAAATGACTAAAGGTTTAAAGCTGCCTTGAATATTCACTGCTGCTAGTCTAATAAATTCCAAGCTTTAAAGATTCGGTTCCCTCGTACAAACTGGGTGATTTAATGATATATATGGACTAAAAACATATTCAAACTAATTAATTTGTCATAATTTTGCTTCAAATCCTTCTCAAACATTGTAATTGCGATGGAATGTTCTGCTATAAAAATTTGATCAAACCAGGTCATGTTTACGTCACGTGACTTTACCTCTCTTGGAAGTCAGAGGAGAAGTCATTGCATACATAAGACTATGTTGTCTTTAATTGCTTACTATTTATTACAAAATATCGAATCCTAATATCCACTACCCGCGTCTTTTTCCGTCATTTTTATCTCAGAAAGTGTTGTACGTCTAACTCTTCATAAAGTTTATCAACTTGTACATCAAGCGCTCAATGTTCGTGTGTGACCTTTGACATCACACGGGCAGAAATTCCTAATCATCGGGCTGTCGATATGGGGAACCCTTACATTTTTGTCCTGTATACGTTCCATGAGTGTTTTTCGGGGAATCCAGTATATTTTAGTAAGATTGGATATCTCTACTTTCCATATATACCAAAATTACCATTCGGATACTTTAACTATTCATGCTATCCGATGTTTTTTGTTTTTTCATAAACTGTTTGTGTTATTTGGAAACGACCCCTCTCATCACTGCTTTCTGATATAGGGTTAAATGAGCAATAATTTCCTGCAAATAAGGCTTGAAAATTATCAACAGATCTGAAGCTTTTAGTCTTTCTACCCCATACAACTGTTTTATTACTTTTAAATAGTCGTAAGCAGCACAGTTCAAATATTAGACGAATGCCATGGCCCATGAAGAGCTCCCAGTCGCGCACTTCGCCGATGATTAGAGCTGTAGCTATTCAGCGCGTTCACGCAAAGAGTTATATACTTACACTGATTTTCTTCATATCTAACTGTTTAAGTTGTTGCATATGTCGTAATATAATTTGTTTATAATACTGATCCTGACATAATGGATTACCATCAAGAGAGATTTCTGATAAACAATGGGAATCACCTAGACATGATATGTCTTCATAACTAAAACAAAACAACAAATATTTACTTTCAAACTAACATGTTTTATAGCCTAACAGCAGAGTTTTCACTTCAAAATACTGCTAGTCAGTCAATTTTTGGCATATTTTGCTAACCTCTGATTAGCAAGACATTTTTGTTTAGCATTAGGCATTCCCAAATTTTGTATATACATTTTTGTTGTTTTTTTACATACAAAAGCTATCAATTACCCTATGAATATTGTGTTTTAAAGTTAAATTCTTTGTTTGAAATTCTAATTGTTTGGAATCTAAATTGACTGACTTCAGTTCTTCAGACAATTTCAATCTTAAGACTGGCAAACATGAGCCCTGTCTAAAAGTACAAACTGCATAATTGGACAATATTTTATTAAAGTAGTCACTAAACAGCATTTGTATAGATGATCACCAACTCTCTTATAATACGCTCATAAATTAGTTTAAAAGGGCAATAGCTTTTACAATATTTTAGAGCCATTCATGTAAACTTAAATTAAATTTTGCACATCCACTTCCTGAATGTTTTTCTAAATTAACATCAAAAAAACAATTAATTGTTTAAATTGAAAAAAAGACATGGGACTTATCTTTATCATGACACTTCTCTTGTACTTATGAATATATCTTTTTGCAAACCATTTATGACCGCATTACAGGCCAATTTTCTGTGTCTAACATGCAAATACAATGATAAACATTGCATGTAAAATAAAGGTATCTATTTGTATGTTGCCATGTTCAGCTGAACACCCAGGTCTATGTAGATACCAGTTATATATATATAAGAAAGTAAGTATAAAATATACCTACCTATTTATTTCATTGATACTTAAAAACAACCTCTGTAGATTAGGCAAGTTATCTACATCTGCCTGTCAATCAAAAGTTTGATGTTTAAATAAATGAGTACAATAAAGACAATATTAAATACAATACTGGAACCATTGATAGCTTACGTCATGAATATCCTAATTTGTTATTAAAGACAGATCATACAGTTTCCTTCTTAAGTTAGAACATTTCTGCTAATCCTGTGTTGTAGTACACATAATCTTGACTATGGATTATAAAGGTAGATCTTTGATCTCTCTTGATCTATTATATGTTTATAGAAAAAATAACCAGACACATGAATTGTAAACCATGTCTTATAAATCATAGGTATGGTTTACACTAAAAGACATGTTGTTAAATGTATATCACAAATAGATGATCAGCTGAACTATCCACTCACATCTCCAAACCTGGTAATCCCCCCAAAATAGTTTGTAATCGTGATTTGTTAATAATAACCTGATCCAACAACCATAACCAAAATAATAAATGTTGAGTTTTGGTTTAGTTCATCGGTTCGCTTTGAATATGAAAGTACAGATAAGCACAAGTTCTTACCACAGATTGTATACGGTTTCTTCTAAGATTTAATTCTGCTAAGGCATCCATTCCTGTCAGATTATCTACATTAACGATGAGATTACCAGCTAGATTTAAAACTCTTAATTCTACCAGGTGATTTAAATTCTCTATTACACTGATCTACAATACATTCATTAATACTTATATAATACATGCACATTTATTTGAAAATATTAAACAAAATATTTAGTGAAAATATTAAACGAAACATTTAGTGAAAATATTAAACAAAATATTTAGTGAAAATATTAAACAAAATATTTAGTGAAAAATATTGAAGAAATATTTTGTGAAAATATTACATAACAATCTGATTAAAATACAGATCTATATTTCGTTTCGTTTTTTATACTTTCGTTGGCCTACACTACATGAAGATCTGACAAGTTGTACTCGATGGTCATGTCAGGGGTCGTACAAGCGGCTTTTGACCCTATGATGTCAGACATTGATTAATCAATCAGCATTGACGTTTCTAGTGGTTTACCCATAGTTCCATGCATGGCACGCCAAGAAGTCACCGTAACAGACTGTTTCATTGGCTTATCCCCCACTTCAACTAAAACACCGGTAATATAACAACTCTTCCAGATCCTAGTGTAGTAAAGACAAGTAAAACGACATTTTGAACTATACAAAACGAAACGAAATAGGATCTGTTTGATTACACAAAATTGTTAGTGAAAATATTGCACAAAATTTGCATTGAAAATACTGAATGCAATTTCAAGTGAAAATATTTCCCAATATTATCACCCAACAGATATAAAATAACAGGGAAACTTTTAATTGAAGAGCAAATATATGCTATGGTCCTACCTGATTCCCATGTAAGTCTAACACATCCAACTTCACCAAAGAATCTAGATTCTGGATTTTTCTAATTCTAAAAGCAAAATGATAATATATATTAGCCTGACCATCAATGTTAAATTCCACCTGCATGATTAATCCTTAAAAGTTAGATTGGTGAAACAAAAATTTGATTTATAATCAAAATACTCAAATTATGTCTATAACATGTGACAGAAATTATTTATTGGTATATCTATTTCTCTATAAATATCAATGATAAAATAAAATGATTTTAACCTGTTTAATTTAGAAATGGAGGAGAGAGAGAAAGAAATGGGGTTTAACGTCTACTCGACACAAACTAGGTCATTTCGGGACTAACATGTGGTTTAATTTTATTTACATAATTCGCTTGCGCGTAGGGGTCTTTAGCAGTGGGAGGAAACCGGACGACCCGGAGAAAACCCACGAGGTTGGACAGGCGACCCTACTCCTTGCCACGTACAACCGGGGATTGGAAACCACACCAGTCGACTCAATGACAGACTTTATGATACAGCGCGCGCACGCTAACCATTCAGCCATCCACCCCCCCTTAGAAATGGAGGAAACCTACCTATTTTTACCCAGCATGAGAACACGTAAAGATCTAAGACCACTAAGTCCTGAGATCTCTTCAATATGATTATCATACAGATCTAAAAATATGAGACGTTTTAACAAGCTAAGGTGCTGTATTTCAGAAATAAGATTATGTTGATAGTTCAACAGGCGTAACTGTTCTTCTCCTTCTAATATTGGGCACATTTTTAGTTTTCGTCTGAAATATAAAAACAGAAAGACATTCAAAATCTATCTAAAATGGTTGATGATTGCTAACTAGAATATCATGTAAGTTAAATCTAAAAAGGACTATCAGTCCAAACTGAAATGAAAAGAAATGAGGTTTAACGTCCTACGGTTCTGCTCCAATTGGCCTAATGAAGACGGGCATATGCAATACAGTCTGCTATGAGGGAAATTTTGCCCGGCCAGCCGGTGCTTACGGCCAATATGTATGCCAGACCTCAGTATTTCGTAACATCCGAATGACTAGACAGCTGTCTTTGTCAGGATATCTGAATGGGATTGTGAAACAGACATAGCCTATATAAAACCCCTCTCCATTTATGTTCAAACAGAACAAGATTTATCTTGTGTTATCTACACTCCAGGGGATCACGGTGGCTAAGTGGGTAAGACGCTGGCTCGCTAGCCTGGAGGTCCGGTGTTCGATCCCTGCATTGGTCGAGAAAGTTTCCCCTTGTCAGTGATGCAGGACAGAGGGCCTGATAAGCACAGCTGTCTAGTCGTTCGGATGGGACAAAAAACCAGGGTCCCGTGTACACATTGGCGTGCACGTAAAAGATCCCTTGGCAGTTGGAATTCGATATAAGAGTAGGCCGTAGCGCCGCTGGCCGGGCAAAATTTCCCTCATAGCACACAGTATGGCATATGCCCGTCTTCATTAGCCCAGTTTAGGAGCAGAACAGTAGGATGTTAAACCCCATTTCATTTCAGCTGCTTTACCTGTCCAAATTAAGTCTGTCAGGATTAGTAGTTCGTTCTTCAGGTGTTCTATATATAACAGGTATTCCTGGTGCTGACGGACTTTCAGCAAATATAACACGATCACCTGAAACAAAATCCATGAATTATTTATAACGTTTATAGATGATTAAATCAGAAGTGTTATAGCCCTTTCTGTTTGTGACAGTATTGAGATGTAATTTAAAAGGCCCTGTTGGAACCTTACTTGCTAATTACTCTGTGCCTGTGGTAAGGAAGAAGTATGTGCATGTACATGTGCATGCTAGGATTCAGTTTGATTTACTATGATTTATATTACAAACTTATAAAAGTTATGATTTATATTACAAACTTATAAAGGCTAGCAGGTAAGGTTTATATTACAAACTTATAAAAGCTATGATTTATATTACAAACTTAGAAAGGCTAGCAGGTAAGGTTTATATTACAAACTTATAAAAGCTATGATTTATATTACAAACTTATGAAAGCTATGATTTATATTACAAACTTATAAAAGCTAGCAGGTAAGGTAGTAATTATACTACACATACAAAACACAAAAGCTATCAAACACCAATTAGGCAAAAACAGATATCCAAGACACCTGAACATAATAGTAAGCGATGCTATGGCCTATTTTTTTTATTGAACTCCAACTGTCAAGGGTTCTTTGTGTATTGTACACAGGATCTTGTTTTTCGTCCCACCCTTTGTTCTACACCACTGACAAGGAGGAAACCATGCTGGAAAGTACAAATCAAACCTCCTTGATTGAACACATAGCTCCCGTTAAATCATACACAGATAAGACAATTCATTTGATTTTTATATGACTTTTAAATAAAAATACTTACCGGGAAGAAATGCTGGATGTCGTAATTTCGGTTGAAATGAGAGTTGTCTTGGTCTAATACCCCCATCTTCTTCATCACCGACTACATCTGCTGATCCTAGGTCAGGTGCACATGCTTGTATTGGTATAACTTGCCTTTTACCACCCCGAGAATGAATAGGAATCTTTTCTATAACAGAGAACAGAGCAAACTGATTTCTAAATACATAACATTTAAACTACCCAAAAAACTATATCTTGCAAAAAGCTATGAAGGAAAGTCTTTTTAATCCCTAACATCTATGGACCAGAAACGGTATCACTGTCTACTATCTTTGACATCATATAAAATATCAAAGTCATCCCATCAATGCACATTTCGAGTGAACTTTAAATGCCAGCACCATGGCCATAGGCTTTTTTTAAAGAGTGTCATCCCTAAGAAGAACAACAAGAGAAGTCGTGCTTGGGACCCATTTGCTGGTCCAAAATACTGTTTTGTGAGAGAAATGGGGTTTAACGTCCACTCGAGACATAACAGGTCATTTCGGGACTAACATATGGTTCAATATTATTTCATTAATTCGTTTGCGCATAGGAGTCTTTAGCAGTGGGAGGAAACCGGAGGACCCTGAGAAAACTCACAAGGTTGGACAGGCGACAATACTCCTTGTTACGTACAAGCCGGGAATCGAAACCATGTCACTTGACTCAATGACAAACCTTATGATGCAACGCTCACACGTTAACTATTCGGCCATCCAGCCCAGCTCTACTGTTTTGTAGTTCTGTAGAAACTGAACTAGCATTCTGAACTGCTAAGAAATGAAATAAAATTGTGTTTAATGTCCCACTGTTCTGCTTCGACTGGGCTAATGAAGATGGCCTACTCTTATATTGAATTTCAACTGCCAAGGGATCTTTTACATGCCTACCAATGTACGTACAGGACCTTTTTTTTTTTACCATCCAGGCGACTAGACAGCTGACAAGGGGAAACCATGTCGGAAAATCCAGATGAACTTTCTCAGCCAACTCCGGGAGAGACCCTGCTACCTCCAGTCTAGCGTTCCAGCAGTGTCTTACTCACTTAGCTACCGTAGCTCCTAAATGTGACATACCAAATTAGGTCTGTGAGCTTACAAGAGGGACAACAGCATTTATTGTAAATTGAATAGCTTTGTAATGAAGTAACTCCAGTTACTATATACATTTATTCAATTAAATCCATTCCCATATATTATATATTCCATTTAATTCAAATTGAGCACATTTGTTATGATAATTTTGTCAAAGTGACTCATGCACTATTTGTAACAGATTTTAAATCTATTAATACTAATACATGTATACAACATATGATTGCATTATTTAAAGGCACAAAGCCTCTCTGATTTATTTCAGAATAAAGTGCTTACCTTGATTGATCAAACAAATGATTTTGATAATAATTACCTTGACTGATCAAACAAATGATTTTGATAAAAATTACCTTGACTGATCAAACAAATGATTTTGATAATAATTAGCTAAGCTATTACAATTAAAGATGGGTTCCCAGAAAAGTATTTATCTATTGGTTATTTCCAATAAAAGTATGGTAATTTTGGTATATATGGAAAGTAGAGATATCCAATCTTACTAGAAAAATACTGGATTCCCCGAAAAACACACATGGAGCGTATACAGGACAAAAATGTAAGGGTTCCCCTAATCAACAGCCCGACGATTACGAATGTCTGCACGCGTGATGTCAAAGGTCACACGCGAACATTGAGCGCTTGATGTACAAGTTGATAAACTTTATGAAGAGTTAGACGTACAACACTTTCTGAAATAAAAATGCCGGAAAAAAACGCGGTAGTGGATAATCTGAGTATTTAATTAGGATTCGATATTTGTAATAAATAGTAAGCGATTAAAGACAACATCGCTTATGTATGCAATGAATTCTCCTCTGATTTCCAAGTGAAGTAAGTCACGTGGCGTAAACGTGACCTGGTTTGATCGAATTTTTATAGCAGGACATTCCTTCGCATTCGGCCATCCAACCCCCCAGGGAGTGTGTCTATTCTTCCCGTTAAATCATATCTATCCCAAGTACAGCAACATGACAACGCTTCATTTAATCTGGGGTCTTCCCTAAAACTTTTGACAGTGATTTAAGATATCAAAAACAGTGAAAGTATTGTTCGTCTCCAAGCAGTATTGTTTACATTGTATCCGTGTTGATAGCCTTGTTTGTCACGCAGTTAGTTTTTCTGCAATATTCTGCTATTCACTGGTTAATTGGGTATAATAAAATCGTGAGTAATGACGTAACATTATGTAAACATATTTGGTCCAATTTGGAGTTTTGTTTAAAGCGTAATGATATTGTTATAGCTATTGGCTGTTAATCGGACTATTAACCAGTCATAATTTGGAACAGAAATTTGCTTCTATTACAGCAGTCTTAAATTGTATTAGCTCTAATCAAAGGAAACACTCCGAGGAGTATGTGTTATCTCAGACTTCATCTACACACATAAAATATAGAAATAAACACATCAATTTTAATTTATTTCATATTTCCATTTTTCCACCAAATTAATTAGGCTGTGTCCTGTTAAAGACGCATTACATGTATGTGTAAGATTTAGATAAAGAGCTAACAGTTCTTGCTATAATAGTTTAAAAATAGATAATGAGAAATGAATATATTGAAAATTACTTTTTGAAGAAAGCAGTATTTGAATTTTTCACAATATAGTCTCGATTGTCAAACACCAATGTTATGATAATAAAGAAAGCCTTGATTATCCTTACGGTTCTGCACCAGCTGTGCTAATGATTTTGCAGAGACAGTGGTTCTACGACCTATTCTCTTAAGTTTGTTTTTTTTACATGCATACCAATGCATTCTGTTTTCATTCCATCTGAACGCCGTTCCTTGCCAGAACCTCAGTCTCGCATCACTGACAGGGTGAAACCATGTCGGAAAATACTGAGAAACTTTCCCAGTCAACACCAGGAGCAAACCCTGGTCTTCAAGTTAAGCGAGCCAGCATGTTACTCCCTGACCCATTTGTGGCTCCTATAAATATTTGACTGTATGTATATAATTTTTGTGACCAATTAAGGGATTGGAGATACTGGTGGTACCTACTCCCGTAAGTTCGATCTGTATTTTTTAAGTAAGAAATCTACTATCTGTATTGATCGTCACAAGTTTTCTATCACAATATTATAGTTAATTTACAAAATAAAAAGGTGAAACATGCAAACCTCCACTTAAAGGTGTTACAGGGTATCCCCAGATTGCATTTTCATTTGGTGATACCTTGAATATAAACATTTCCAGTAGTTGCTGCCACACAGAAATGAGCTCAATAATTACAAGGTCTAGCTGGACAGTGCTAAATTTAGAATTATAATTCTACCAAGGACAAATCATAAAAAATAATGTGAAAGCTGGAATAATATTCATTAAAACTATCAAAAAATCAGGCTAAAAATCAAAGTATGATAAAGCTGACCTATAACACTACTAATATAAATAAAGCAATAAAATTATTCCATAAATTTTCCATAAATTATTAAGATGAAAGTGAATGATTGATTATAGTACTCATTCTATTGAACAACAAACATATTTTTCTGTTGGCCTTAAATAAAGCCATTTATTTGTTATGTTTTATTATATAAATGTGGGCTAATGCTCAAAACCATGTTACTATACACTAGTAATGCATGTACTATTTATGTACTATAATAGGCTTATGAAATCTCAAATGTATTCTTGTATACACTTGCTTTTTTAGTAAAGATCTTTTCCATGTGACAACAATTTCACTCGTGACCATACATTTGTACATGTTAATAAAGATATTCTAGTGCAAGTAATAATTTAAATATAAAATATATTGTTTATAAACTATACTATTCAAAAAAAGTAGGGGATATTTGATTTTTAAGTGTTATTAAAGTCACCTAATGAAACTGACGAAGAAACAAATGACAAAATGAAATGAAGTTCACATTCATCGATTTATTCCAAATGATCGTTAGACTAAGTAAGGCACAGACTGACCATTATAAGGGTAAAATGATACCCGGGGTCAAACAGCAAAGTTACCACAGCATCACAACCAAGTCAGTAACGGGTAAATCCTCCTCTGTTTGCCAAACAAGCATTGATCCGACGTGGCATACTCCTAATGAGACGTCTAAGGTCATTTTGGTCCAGATTGTCCCATTCCTGTTGCAACGCAGCAGCAAGTTCTTGGACATTGGCAGGACGTTGTTGACGTTGACGTAACCTCTGTCCAAGCATGTCCCAGACATGCTCGATGGGGGAGAGGTCGGGACTCAGTGCTGGCCAAGGTAATGTGGTGATGTTCTGTTGTTGGAGGTAACCTGTAACGATCCTGGCCCTGTGACATCTTGCGTTGTCATCCTGGAAGATGAAACGGCGGCCATGACGTCGTGCGAACGGCACAACATGTTGTCCCGGTAGTACTGGCCTGTAACACGCCCTGCAACAACATGTAAAGCCGTTCTTCCAGCAACAGTGATGCCTCCCCACACCATAACAGAACCACCCCCAAATCGATCATGTCTGATGACGTTAACGTCTTGGAAGCGCTCGTTTCGACGACGCCACACCCTCCTACGTCTGTCCAAAAAATCAACAGTGAACCTTGACTCATCTGAAAACATCACATTGCTCCAGCGTCGATTATCCCAGTGTTGACGATCCCTACACCAACGACGTCTTGCCTGAATGTGATGATCTCTCAAACAAGGCATCACGCGAGGACGTCGGGCGCGAAGGTGACCCCTATGCAGTCGATTCCGAATCGTCTGGCCACTCACTCTCACACCAGTGTCTGTTTAAAGACGAGCGCTGATCTGATTTGCTGTGATGACACGATTTCTCAAGGCCAAGGTACGAATAAATCGATCCTGGGCTTGAGTTGTCGCCCTTGTTCGACCTGAGCGTGGTCTGTCCTGTACAGATTGTGTATCACGGTATCTGGACCATAGCCTGCTTATGACAGACTGAGAAACATTCATCGTCCGCGCCACAACCGCCTGTGTTGTGCCGATCTGTAGCATGCCAAGGGCACGTAACCTTTCATTTTGGGTAAGCCGACGTATATCAAAATTTGTTTTCTGGTCACTAAAACAATTAAACTGATGTTTCCACCCTGGAATTCAATGCCACAATGACTGTAACATTCAAAGTCAGAGTCGTGCAAATCTTGGGTTGGACCCCCATGATGATCCCAAGCATCACCTGCATTCCATGCGGTAGCTATTGGTGCGTTTGGGCGTCACATGTAACTGGAAATGTTTCTTCTGTTAGGTTCTATAGTGACTTTTTTCGTAGTCATTTGCATATTTTAGTATTATGCCCCCAAAATCAAATATCCCCTACTTTTTTTGAATAGTATATATATAATATACACAAAGCAAATAATTAAGCTCCCCTGTATATTTAAAGATACATTATGGGAGATTAGATAAAGGGCTGGCAGTTCTCACTCTAATAGTTAAAAAATAGATAATCTAATGGGAATTTGCTGAAAATTTCAGTCAAATTGATCCAATCTGAATCAAGAATTTAGTGATTGAATTTTTGGCCTAGCCTCGATCATCATTACTAAAGTTGCTACGATAAAAAGCATAGTCTCGATTATCCATTTCATGATTAAATCAATATGACAGTTGAGCAGCAAATCAGATCCTAATCCAGTAAATATCGCAGGCTAGCATTGACATCCAGAGTTGATTATGGTCTGGATAAGTTAATTAATGTCTAATTAATAATTTAGATAACATTTCAGGCCTAAAGAAAGACCCTGCAATAGGCAGATTTAGCTCTTGCATAATGTATGTTTAATAACAACTGGTTGTGGAGTGTTGACACCATCATTTCAAATAATTTCCCATCACTAAGCAAAATAACATTTCAGTTCAAACTAATTTAACACTTTAATTCAACATGATAAATGTTTAATAACAACTGGTTGTGGAGTGTTGACACCATCATTTCAAATAATTTCCCATCACTAAGCAAAATAACATTTCAGTTCAAACTAATTTAACACTTTAATTCAACATGATAAATAAAATCGGTGTAGCGCCATTAAACTACAGAAATTAATACCCATGTTAAATGAATATTTTTGATATGGCCTGATTATAATTAATCAAACAAACCACATCAAGTTTAAAATGTTCTTCAGAATTCTGGTCTGTTGGATTTATATATGACAAGAATATATATAACAAAATAAAAAAGCTGGCGGTAAGAATACTAAGATAGATTAAAAATATCGAGCTATATAAAAACATTGAAAGCAGACAACTTGTATATAAACCTACTCACGTTTAATTACTACAGTAGTTCCATTTAAAGAAAAAAGATAAATGAATCTAAATGTAAACAATTTGATATACTTTCTTAAATAAACAATTGGATGTATTTCTTTCATTTGATTCAATTCTTATTTTTCAACAGATAGGCTAGTTTTGTCATGAATGAAATACTACAAAAATGTCAATCATTCAAACAGTGCACTCCAAATTCTATTATTGTCTACTAATTCACATATCTTTCTTTACTCATCTCAAACAGTGAAATTTCAATGGCATTCTTCCTAATTACAAATAAATTGAACAATTTACTATACAACTCTACTGCGAATTTACATGTATCTAACTTTAAATATGCCATGTGATATCGGCCCCTAAAAACGGTGGTTATATGATCAGGGCCCTGTTTCACGAAATTTTAACTTAAGATAAAATCCAAATTTTAATAGATACTTCAATTTTGATTGGCTAAGCACTAAAATCAATCTAATATTATCCAATCAAATTACTAAAATTTGGATTTTATCTTAGTTAAAATTTCGTGAAACAGGCTCCTGGGGTTGTAAGTATGTATTTAATCACTGCTAACCAATATTAGTGTTAATTCTGGGGTGTAGGGTGTGTTCAACTAATCAAAGTCATGTCAAGAAATGTCCCACAAAAGTATTTGTGGTGGAATAAAAAAAACACCCAAAAATAGAAAGAGTAATCTCATTTAAATAGTCTCCCGCTTTCTATGATAGGTGGGTCATGTGTGATCACAAGAAATGTCCCACAAAAATATTTGTGGTGGAATAAAAAAAAAAAAAAAAAATAGAAAGTATAATCTCATTTAAATAGTCTCCCGCTTTCTATGATAGGTGGGTCATGTGCGATCACAAGACATGTCCCACAAAAATATTTGTGGGGAATAAAAAAAAAAATAAATAAATAGAAAATACAATCTCAATCTCATTATAGTATCTAAGTTAGCCGGGAGGTTGGGTGGCTGAATGGTTTAACGTGTGCGCATTAGATCATAAGATCTGTCATTGAGTCAAGTGGCATAGTTTTTATTACCCGTTTGTATGTGACAAGGAGTAGGGTTGCCTGTCCAACCTCATGGGTTTTCTCCGGGTCCTCCGGTGTCCTACAACAGCTCAAGACCCTTACACGCAATAATACGTAAACTCAATGGTCGAAATTAGGATTTTTCTACGTAAGCCATAGTCTTCAATGATAAGGACAATATATCTTTAGTAATGAACCTTTGTTAGCATGTGTATGAAATACTAAATTATAATGCATGTCGTGTGTCATCGTTAATTTGGCACCAGAGATTGTGTTGACAAAATATATATTATTAATGACTGTTTATCGGGATATTCAACATTCTGTAAGAGGATTATTCAATGTGACAATGACTGTTAAATTTACCTAACAAATGACAACATAGAGTTATATTCAAAGTTATATTTTAAGCATTTTCAATGAGATTTGGAAAAATTTCGAATATTTAAGCATTTTAAAGACCTAGGAAATATCTTTTTCAATTCAACGATATTCAAGGGCCACAGGAAACTTTGTTTAAAAGCAGTACATTAACAGACATACAATTTGCCTCAATAGTTTACAATTGTTGTGGCATACTGAATAGTTAGGGAAAATCTGTATATGAACAAATCTATTAATTTAAACTGAAAAGCTTAGGTATCAGCTGACTTCATTATCTGCTACAGTGATGATTAAATCCAGAAAAATATCTTGAAGAAACATACAAGAATTATGATTGTGATAAGAAATTCCTGTTTCCAACCCATCCAGAAATTTGAAGTGAGAATGATGTGACTACATGTACTTCCCGCGATAACTTTTATAAGTATCTTTTTGTCTATTGCTGCTATCCATGTGTACTGTAATTCAAGGAGTATTTGTGTAATGAAAGTGTAACATATATAAATCAGGAGGTATGCTGCTTGATAAAATGTGATAATCCACCCACATTTTTAATTAATATGAGATTTTTTTTTTAACAAACTAACAATAATTTACAGATGTTCATCAAGCACAAGGATAATATCATAAACTAACTAATAAAGTCAGACAGTAGGATTAAGATTTAATGCCATAAACTTTTGCTAAAATCAGTGATTTTACGTGCATGTAATTGTAATGCTAGCACCCAAGAATTTATTTCCAGTACTGACTTTGGTATTTGTGAATGCCTGCTAAAAAATATAGATGGTTGACTAAAAAAGAACTGTTGTTGAATATTTAGTGTTCATCGTGAGGTTTGACTTCTCCTTTGGCAAAGTATGCATTAGTTCAGACTTTTGTTAAAAACTTAGCTTGTGTGAAATAGGCCTTTCTTTAGCTTATTCATATAAATAGATGACAGAAGTATTTATAAGTTCTAGAGGTGTTAAGTCCAATAAACTTGGCAAAACTGTCACACAGTGAAAACCACAAGTTAACTGACCTCTCTCACTGGAGTGTACACTCTCTCATACATACAACCTTACATTAAAGGGACAACACATATAGTATCATCATTACTATATGACATCCCCCTCGCTTAAAGCAAAGGCCTGCAAAATGTGGTGCAATACAACTATATTTTAAAAGAAAGCAAACTAAAATAACAAACATTTATACATGGAACTATAATACATGAATACAATTTGAATTGTTTGCATGGGTAGAGCAACAGGACCCCTGTTCCCAAAACTAATTTTTGTCCGTAAAAAGAAATTATTTTCGAGCCAAAATCAGTAATTAATGGGCATCAACACAATTTTCAAGAATTTACATTGACCAATATTGAGATAGATAGTTCAAAACTATGAACAACACTGTACACCTCTGTCTGTAATCTACAACAGTCTTGTGTGATTCTACATCACTAGCAAGTATATAATGTGATATTTACCTGCAAAATTATTGAGTGTGAAGTCTGCTGGTTGATTATATCTCCTCATATTGTATTCATTAGAATGTGTCTGTCTTAATACAACTTGTGGATGTTCCGATCCTAATACAATGTCTTGCTACAAAATAATAATATTTATGATTAAAGGGCCATTAGGTAAGATTAACTTTAGATAAAGAGCTGACAGTTCTCGCTGTAATAGTTAAAAAATAGTTAAACATGCATTATGCAAGAGCTAAATCTGCCTATCGCAGGTCTTTCTTTAGGCCTGAAATCTTAACTAAATTTTTAATTAGACATTAATTAACTTATCCAGACCATAATCAACTCTCGATGTCAAGGCTAGCCTTCGATATCGACTGGATTAGAATCCTATATGCTGCAAACGCTCATTGATAATTAAATCAAAACAGTGGATAATCGAGACTATGCTTTTTAACATACTAACTTTAGTAATGATGAACGAGGCTAGGCGGAAATTTACAAAGCTGATATCTCGGTTCATAGCGGACCAATTTGACTGAAATTTTCAACAAATTACCTTTTCATTATCTAGTTTTTAACTATTATAGCGAGAACTGTCAGCTCTTTAATCTCCCATAATGTATCTTTAATGAAAACAAAATATGATGAAAATTTCAGTCAAATTGCTTCGCTCTGAACAAAGATATTAGCCATTGAATAGTTGAAAAATAGTTAATGAAAACAAAATATGATGAAAATTTCAGTCAAATTGCTTTGCTCTGAACAAAGATATTAGCCATTGAATTTTAGGCTGGTCTTGGTCGTCATTACTGACTTTAGGATGATAACAAACAAAGTCTTGATTATTCATTTTATGTTAAATTATCCATCACAAAATGTATTTAAATCTAGTAAATATTGCAGGCTAAAAACTCTTGAATAATGCATGTTTAAACAAGAGGTCTAAAAGAGCTGTAACTGACCATCAGTTAAGAATACGAGCCACTGGAACATTGTTTGAACAAATCTGAATAAGCATCACCCAAGCAACATATATCTGCCATCACACAGGATAGAAAAAAAGAAGTCGAAAACATCTAATAAAAATATGTTCATTCAATGTGTCAAACTCAATTCCTTTGGAACCAAGTAACTTTATTTGATCAAATAAGACAAGTATATAATTCTACATGGTTTGTTTAGACGAAGTTGAGAATACAGATCAACATCTACAAACACTGTTTGAAATCCATCAAGCAGTTTAAGTAAAGTCAGAAGTACACATTTTTGCCAAACCCATTTGACCAAACCTTAATTACAGTAACAACTGCAACCAAAGCAATATTCATACCAAAGATCAGAGAGCTTTCAGAGAAGAAGACAACAATGTTTAAATTGATTCTGTGGAGCCCACCCAGTCCTTTCATTTTAACAAACTTTAATCTTTATTATCTAAGGATGGTTCCTCCAAATGTTAAAGAGGATTTTTGAAGATTACCTACATTTCCTCGCTAAGGCAGCTCTACCCAATCCCTAAAATAGCAAGCATCTTCAATTGAATAAATTTGAGTAAACAGCACCATGGCAATATACCTATTGAACAGAATTTTGTTGCAATTCATCAAGCATTTTAAAATGACTTAATATTTAGGGTTCTACATCACCAGGGCCCTGTTTCTTGAAATCTTAACTAAAGATAAATTTCAAATTTTAGTAGATACTTCAATTTTGATTGGCTAAGCACTAAAATCAGTCTAATATTATCCAATCAAATTACTAAAATTTGGATTTTATCTTAGTTAAAGTTTCGTGAAACAGACCCCTGGACTACAGACAAGCCACTTGAAATGATTTGTTAATATAACCAATCAGAAGACAGACAGGAGAGAATCTTAAATCTTACCACATACACAATAAAATCAATCAGAGCTGCAGGACTGCAAGTTGGGGGGAGAAACTTACTCAAAAAGTTTGATCATCATCTTGTTTAGACATAATTTAGAGCAAAATTTTATTTATATACTATTACTAGCTGTACCGCGGAGATTCAAATTTTAGCTCCGATTATATTTTAAAGAAATCGCATGTTAAGTACAATATTGTAAACTTGAATCTCTTAATAGGCATATTGGTCAAAAATGTTCCAATTCTGGTCAATATTCCTTTGATCTACATATATGCTGCTCCCTACATAGCCTCTATCATCCAGAAAAATATTCTACAATAATAATAGGTCATCGGCTAGATTATCCGGTCTTTTATATTATCATAGACAAAGTCTAAGGGAGGTAATTAGTCCTAAAACAAGACATTGATGCCCATAAATTTAAATTTAAGAATGCAATTTCAAAAAATCCATTTGATTGCATTGCCAGTTCAATATCCAACACTCTTAATTTTTTTATTGTAAAATTTCTCTCTTCATGGGTCATATATATGTTTTTTAAATTAATCCTAATTCGTCGTCATGTTTCATGTTTGTCTATATTAATCATAATTAATGCAAGAATTATGGGATTTATTGTGGGAAGAGGCACAACTCTTACTTGACTTGGTCAAAGATAATGGCTAATTAACCACATTAAAAACCAAACCGGTTAAGCATGGGCAATGAACTTTTCGTCAAATATTGGCAACTGTCCCAGACCCTTCATACATTGAAGACTTGGAGGTTCTGGGTGACCGGGACTACATCCTACAATGTATGTAAAAAAAAACTTACTGTCATCTTCATGTTTCAAAAAATCTAATTGAATACAAGATGAAATATTATCTAGCATTTATATTTTGATTTTGTTGTCTAAATTAAATTTTAACCTGTAAGAAATTTTATATTTTCCGAAATTAAAAATCATGCACAGTTACTGTAGGAGTGAATGTCTTTTAAATTTCCTTCTCACCTCTCTATGTAATGATGTTAGTTTACTACGTGGTTTGTTGTAATTAAACATTATTCAAATGTTTATTCATGTCTTCTTCTTCTTCTTCTAAACATCAGATTTCTATATTATCCTGAATAAACCAATCTTTTCCATACATCTTCTTTTAAGGAAAAGTTTCTGTAGAAAGAAAACAGATTAGCTAAATTACTATTAAACTCCAAAGTACTTACTATGGGAAAGCAATCTTTATAATTTTGTTATATTATTCGTAAAATGTAGACATGTTAAAATGGCTTAAAGTTACAATTTCATATTTTCTAAGAAAGTCAAAACATAATTATTTCTATGTCTTTTGCTCAATAGGTTGTCAACTCACTATTATACGATCATAGGTGTCATTCTCACACTTAAAACTCATTTACACCGGAAATAATAACACAATTACCACCCAATTACCTGCCTTGTTTTCTATTCTCCACCATAGAGTAGCTTTTTTCAAACGTTTGAATGATATCTTTGCCAATTTCTCAACTGGCAATAGTGAATTATAGGAGTAATAGGATTATTCTTTAACAAGGTAGGACTGTTTATAGATACCATCTATTTTAAGGCTTTATTTTAATAAATTTTAAAAATATAACTTAAAAATATGAAATTGCAACTTTAAGCAGAGCAGTTTGTGGTTTACAAATAGGCCCAATACACATCAACTGTTCAAGCACTGACCCACCCAATGATACAGCTGAATAAATACAATATTTTTCACCTATCTAATCTCTTTATGTTTCGCACAAAGGAATCATTTCTTGCAACATCTAACACTAATTTATAATAAGTCAACACTATTTTCACACAGAAATTTGTGATTAAAAAAACATGAGGTCTGCACATGTTCAAGTCTCTTAATGGCTGATCAGTTCAAACACATTTTGTGTATGTTTTTAATCGCAAAATTCTACTTGAAAATATAGTTGAATTATTATAAATTTGTGTTAGATGTGGCGAAAAATGATTCCTTTTGAGGAAAAATAAAGAATCACGTTGAAAAAGAGAAGACAAGGATTAAAAAATAGCCTTAGATTAGGACGCATAGGAACGGTCAGCAGACAGCATCCTATCAGATATCGCTCCTAAAGAAACTATTACCCCCCCCCCCCTAATGAAAACTGGTATATGCAATGCAGTGTGATATGAGGGAAAATTTGCCCAGACAGCAGCGCTAAATACGGCCTACTCTTGTATTGAATTCCAACTGCCAAGGGATCTTTCACGTGCACGCTAATGTGTACACAGGACTTTGTTTTTTCATCCCAAGCGAACGATAAGATATCACTATAAAGCACATTGATTTCTCTTTCCAAATATTTAAATAATTTTCTGGCACATTTATATTTACATAGTTTGAAAAAATGAAATGGAGTTTAATGTCCTACTGTTCTGGTCCGACCGGGCTAATGAAGACAGGCATACGATATATAGTGTACTATGACTATGAAAGATATTTTCCTCGGGCAGTGGCACTATCACCTACTCTTATATCAAATTCCAACTGCCAAGTGATCTTTTACGGGACTTTGTGGTTTTTTTATCGCATCCGAAGTACTAGACAGCTGTCCTTGTCAGGCCCCCCTTCCTGCACCACTGACAAGGTGAAACCACGTCGGAAAATCACGATGAAATTTCTCGGCCAATGCAGGGATCGAACACGCAACCTTCAGGCTAGCGAGCTAGTGTCTTACCTACTTAGCCAAAGCAAAGTTGAAGTAAGGTCGTAGCGATAGAGTGGTATATGAAGTAAAAGTGTGGGGCTTATTGAAGGTTCAGATTAGCCATACCAACCGTGCACATGATTTCACAGAAGTCATAGTCATCCAGCGAATTCCTTACTGATTGCATGCTAGCGTGATTCACCCTTACTGCATGGTGACTGATTGTATGCCAGCTTGATCTCTGCCCCTTCTACTGACCTTGACCTTGTAGATTGATTGCGTACATTATTGATATCTGTTTTAGTAAAGACTTTTCTCTGTATGTAAATGAGATTCGTCATAGATCCCATTTAAGGTATATGTTCTAATATTAAAGGGGGTTGGATGAAATAATATGACTATAAATGTCGATATTATAGCAATGTATGAATGCAAGTATACAATTACTAAGGTCTTGTTTATACGGAGTTTCAGCTATTATTATCCCAAATACATTATGCAATTACTGTCGTGAATAGAGTATGCATAAACTAACATGTTTGTTGTTGAAAAGACGACTATCCGTTCGACCTAACCGTGGCCGGTTCATTTCAAAATGGATTAAGAACCCTGGTTGGATCGCCGAATGGTTAGTGCATGCACGTTTTATCACCAGGTCTGTCATTGAGTCAACTGGCATGGTTTTGATTCTCCCGTTGTAGGTGACAAGGAGTAGCATCGCTTGTCCAACCTCGTCGGTTTTCTCCAGGTCCTCTGGTTTCCTCCCACTGCTAAAGACCCCTACGCGCAAGAGAATTATTGAAATAAAATTGAACCATATGTTAGTCCCGAAATGACCTGGTTTGTGTTGAGCGGACATTAAACCCCATCTATTTATACTGTATTTGTATTATCATTGAAAAGTGTATACTGTATTTTAACAGTCGGTCAGTGATGTCCAGAGTAGTATTGTGGAGCAATGGAAATTGCAAATTGTAAAACTAAAATACATATTTTGAACTGCTGACAAATATGCAGTTTGTATAGTGGACATTGAAATAATAATATGGTATTGATAGGACAGGTATTTAGGGAAATTTTTTGTAATGTTTACTCAAATTCTCAATAACGATAAATAATAATGATTGCTTTGGTGACATCGGCGTACTCATTCTCTATTTGAAATGCTCAACTGTATTGGTCTATCATACCTACGGTTACGGACATGAATGGTCTTCGTACAATATCTAACGACTGAACTCCTGTTCGTACGCCGGGTAGAAAATAAACATAAAAGATGAATTTCTGTATTTACTTTTCAGCCATCTTGAAACTAAAGACGCGCAGTAAATAACCGTTCGGCAAACTCCGGTACATACAATCGATCAAACGGCGGAATCATTAATGGAAAATTGAAGACGATCAACAGGGTCACGCGAAACAGTTTAGCTGCCTGGTTCAAGTGGGCATACATTTTGACTACAGTGGCAATACCCTGCACTAGTTTTTTTTTTCTTTTTCTTTTATTACACTATAAAAGTATCTATATATAAAGGCTGAAATGGTATATTCTCAGTTCTATATAGATGAAGGAAAATAAGGTTTCATGAAGTTCTATAAAGATTCGAATTGTTTCTAAGGTTCTTTAAATAATAATTGCATGACAAAACCAATTCAAATAATGTTAAAATGGCAAACATCATAAAAGCGCTGAAACATCGAATTAGCATAAGGGAAAGGTATGTGTATAAGCTACATACTACGTTTCATAAAGATATTTTGAATGTAAATATGCATACTGACTGACAGAATGAACTTAAAACAAAGGGAAGTCCACCCGACGAAACCGAAAATCTTGGGTCAGAAAATTTAACCTTTGCCCGGTTGTCTCCACTTGAAGCGACCGAAAGTCTGACCAACGTACTTGGCGACCTTTCTTGTCAAATGTGTATGTATAAGGGGTTTGGCATTAAGGGACTTTGTAAAGTAATGGTTCATTCAAAAAATAGGTTAAATTCTGACCTATGAATTATTCTAACCCGAACGTGTCCACATACCGACAGCACATCCTGTTATTTGCAGTGTCAAAAGAACAAGATTTGAAAAAATTGTCTCCGAATAATTTTCTGAAAAAGTTAAATGTTTCATATATGTAACAGGGTCATATTTTGGGACTCTGTCAATTAATGTTGGTGAAGAATGTCCTGATCAGTGTCTTGATTGTTGGAAGTTTTTAATAAGTGAGTTTATAGTTTTGGTTGTGAGATAATGTAAATTCATTAAAATGTTTTGGGGGATGGATTTTCAGTTGTATGGGTCTGGAATTGTATTGTCCGGATTATGGTGTTTTATTTTAGTGGTTGAAATGTCTTAGTTCTTATATGGGTTTACTTTTAATATTTTTTGGTATAGTTGAAAGGATAACTCGTTGGACTCTTTATAGTTCTGAAGGTGGTCTCTTTCTGAAATATTGTTTATCAGGTGATTAGTAATTCTTTGTCCTGGTTGGTTATTCAGAAGTTTAGCTGGGATAAAACTAAATTACACGCATGCATCAGTACCACATGTTACAGATTTAGTGAAGGTCAATACCGGCTCTTTTCCACAAATGGGTAAGCTATTTAATTTAACTTTCTTGTAATAGATGACTGCAAGTGGACTGTGAGTTTCATGAGTGTTTGATATATAATTATATATGTAATTCAAATACTGTAAGGTAAAAATTGTAGGATGTGTAGCCAATAGAACTGTTGGTTACGAATATATGGATAATGGCAACTATTGTATTTTCAGGGCCAACTTGTCGAGCATAAATGTATTTTGTGTTATAGTTATGTGTAGTACCAACAGAAATGGTGTTTAATGGTTATGGTGAATTGAAATACATCTAGATCGACCAACATCGACTACGCGCTTACGCGTTTCATTTAATTGTTTTAAACTGTATCATGTGTCATTTGTGGATTATATAAACTTATTTAAACCTTATCGTGTTGTCAATCAAGAAATCTATTTTCCCGAACTAAGCAGGTTCAATCTATCAACTTTACCACACCATTGCAGGTGATGGAAAGGGTAGGTCTGCAATAATGGAGCCCCCAGGGAGGAGTAGATTTTCTTGGTTGTACCAGCAACAAGTTGAACTGTTTAGTTTTCAATTAACTTATCGTTAGACTTTAAAGTGAATCCGATGGCGTTTAATTACTGACATTCAAATTTATGTGCACATTATCATCAAGCTTGAATTCTCGTGACTTTGTGACAGTGTTTAACCACTGGAACTGAAATTATAACAGATTCTGGATGAAGATTGGAACTGTGTAACAGTGAATATTGAACATTAATATTATGAACTATTGATTAATTTAGTGTTAATTTGATTAATTTAGTGTTAATTTGTTTGTTTTCATTTATTTTTAGTGTCGGTAAACCTGGTATGTATGGTTGTAAGTATGGATGTTGACAGCACTAATAAATAAATAGGTCAAGTTTAAATAAGTTAGGGCATAAAATTCCGTAACTATTGATAATCTTAGAACATCATTCAATACACATTGCATTATACTAAAATATATAACAGTTATCCCAGTAACACTATAACTTGTATTGTCTTTATTTTATCAACAGTGGAGTTTTTTATGTAGAGTTTAGAGTAGTTTGGTCAGTTGATTGGTTTGAATATGTCGGAGGAAGAAGTTGTGGTCTTGGGTAACACACTAAGAAAGTTGGGTCTTTTTCCAAAGCGTATAGGTAAGACTGAAGATGACGTTGCTGAGTGGATGGAAGATGTTTTGAAATCTAAAGGTAAGTGGCCGGTTAAATCGGATGATGAAACAGAGTCGTCTACTAAATCAAGACCACCAGTTAATCCGATGCCGAAGTTGTCAATGTTTTATGGTGAACCAGGAAAAGGTGAAGTTAGTTACGACCTTTGGAGATACGAAGTAGATTGTTTAATTTCAGAAGGTGTATATGATAACCATGTAATACTGTTGGCTATTCGCCGATCACTTAAAGGGGAGGCCGGTAAGGTTATAATGCGGTTAGGTCCGCATGTTGATGTTAAAACTGTCTTAGCCAAATTGCATAGTGTTTACGGTACATGTGAAGAAGCAGAATCTTTAATCGGACTCTTTTACAGTGCTAAACAATATCCATCTGAAACGGTTACAGATTGGGCATGCCGGTTAGAAGATATATTCGCAAGAGTAACTCGAGAGGGTAGTCCAGATCCTAAAGAATCCGATGAGACATTAAGGAATGTATTTTGGCGTGGATTGTTGCCACACTTACGTGATTTGTCTGCTCACAAATATGATAAATCAACAAGTTTCGACACACTACGTGTTCAACTTCGCCGTATAGAGCATGATGTTAACCAACGAAACTTATCAGCGAGTACCGCTACTTCGAAGCCAAATCCTTTTAACATGATACATACAAAGTCTTCTAATTCTGAATTTCAGGAACTTAAAGGGATAGTTCACAGTATTTCTTCACAAGTTAGTGGATTGAAGGATCAAGTTTCGCAATTAGCTTATAAAGTTGACAGACCTAAGGTTCCACGATGGCAGTCACAAGGAAATGATTCAAGAGGTGAGATGTCAAATAATTTTAGTAGTAATAACCGGGATAATCGGCGTAGTAGTCAAGGACCGGGACCCAAGTGTTGGGCTTGTGGTCAGTACGGTCATATTAGGTTGGGTTGCAGAGCAGCATTTAACCAGAATCGTTCTTTAAACGTTCACAACCTCAGGCCAAGGGAAGCGCCCTGGGGTACTCCACGCAGAGACTTCCCAGAGCGACGTTGAAATCGAATTTTGTAGTTGGTGAACCTAATGAAGCCAATGTTAAAGTTGAGGGAAATTGTTGTACTGCACTTTTAGATACTGGATCAACTGTGTCTACTGTAAGTGAAGAGTTATATAATTCTAAATTAAAACATTTACCTTTACAACCGCTTAAAACTATGTTGGATATAGAATGTGCTGATGGTAAACCATTGCCGTATAAAGGATATATTGAAGCAGATTTACAGTTTTCAGAATTGACAGATGAAACAATAACTTGTATTTTATTAGTAGTTCCGGTGAGTAGATATAATTCATTGGTTCCGGTTTTACTTGGAACAAATGTATTGACTCTTCTGATGAAACAATGTAAAGATGAACATGGGAAATCTTTTCTCCAAAAAGCGAAATTAACCACTTCTTGGTATTTATCTTTTCGTAGTATGGATTTATCAGAAAAAGAATTAGTCAAACGAGATTTCAGTTTAGGAATAGTGAAAAGTGCCTCAGTCAATAGGATACTAGTTCGTCCAAATTCTCGTATAACGTTACCATGTTATGTTGATAAAAAGTTACGATACCCGAAGGTGTCGGTGATGGTACACCCATGTCAACGTTCCAGTATTTCATCTGATTTAGATGTTTCTCCATCCATAATGATGTATGATTACAATAATACAGATTATATTTCAGTTAACGTTTCAAATGTGTCTACAAATACTATTGTTATTTCACCCAAAGCTATTGTGTGTGAACTACAGCCGGTAAATATTGAAGATAACGAAGTTACTTCAGATGGATCCAATGCCTCGGTCTTAAATAAAGTAGAAATTGACGAAAGCGATTTATCAGAGGAAGAGATAATTCAAGGTAAGAATCTGTTGTTAAGTTTTGACGATATTTTCGCACATAATGATCTGGACTTGGGACATACATCCAGAGTACAACACAGAATTGAACTTATAGATGAACAACCGTTTAAGCAACGGCACCGCCGTATACCTCCATCGATGTTTACTGAAGTAAAAGATCATTTAAAGCAGTTGTTAGCATGTGGTGTTATAAGAAATTCACATAGTCCATGGGCATCAAACGTGGTACTTTGTCGTAGAAAGAACGGTAAATTACGCATGTGCACTGATTTCAGACAATTGAATAATAGAACGATCAAGGATTCGTACGCTCTTCCCAGAATTGATGAGTTATTGGATCATTTAGCAGGTAACAAATTTTATTCAAAGTTAGATATGAAGTCCGGATATTACCAGGTCGAAGTTGCCGAAGAACATAAGGAGCGTACCGCTTTCACAATTGGTCCGCTTGGTTTTTATGAGTATAACAGACTTCCTTTTGGTCTTTGTAATTCTCCCGCGACGTTTCAGAGGCTTTTAGAAGATTGCTTAGGAGATCTTCATTTGACGATATGTGTAGTGTATATTGATGATTTGATTATTTTTGCAGATTCATTCGAGGAGCATCTACAGCGCTTAAATAAGGTTTTAGAGCGTTTACGTCAGTGTAATTTAAAATTAGCACCTGATAAATGTAGTTTCTTTAAAAGACGTGTAAACTATGTTGGACATGTTATCTCTGAAGCGGGTATTGAACCAGATCCAGAGAAAATTGAGGTGATCCAAAAATGGCCACGCCCATTGAATTCTGTCGAGGTAAGAAAATTTCTTGGATTTGCTGGTTATTATCGTCGTTTTGTGAAAGATTTTTCGAAAATATCAAAACCTTTATCTATTTTGATGCCCACAACGGGTAAGAAAAATAAAAGTAATGTTTCCGTCAAGTGGAAGTGGGATATTGAGCAGGAAAATGCATTTTGTGAATTAAAGGATCATTTGTGTAGTTCTCCAATTCTTACAAGCTGTGACTATACGTTACCATTCGTTTTACATATTGACGCTTGTCAAACTGGTCTGGGTGCAGTTCTTTATCAGAAACGAGATAATTTATTGAAAGTTGTGGCTTACGCGAGCAGAAGTGTGAATAAATCGGAACAAAATTATTCTGCTCATAAATTGGAATTTTTAGGGTTAAAATGGGCCGTTACAGAAAAGTTTCATGATTATTTGTATGGGAACAAGTTTGTGGTGTATACCGACAATAATCCATTAACCTATATTTTGACTTCCGCTAAATTAGATGCAACAGGTCATAGATGGCTCGCCGCTCTTTCTGCGTATGATTTTGAAATAAAATACAGACCCGGGAAAAATAATTTGGACGCCGATTTATTGTCAAGATTACATAAAGAATCGGAATATATTTCACATGAACAGGTACATGTAATTTGTAATTCTATTCAGCCGAGTAATTATGCCGAATGTTTAAGTATATCACCAGAATTAGTGCCGGAGGTAAATTTAGGTCTAAATGGTATGACACCACGTGATTGGAGAAAGGAACAAGCAAAAGATGCCTCTATATTGTCTATTCTTAAATATTTAAGGTCGGGAATAAAGCCATTTGACAAGGAGTTCAACAAAGAGGTCCAAGTATTATGTCGTCGTTTAGAACACTTAAAGCTGAAACAGGGAGTTTTATATCGATCTGTGGAACATGAAGGGGAGATAATTGAACAACTCGTACTTCCAGGTCATTATAGGAAATTAGCATTTCAGGCTCTTCACGATGATCTTGGTCACATGGGTAGAGATAGAACTATGGTATTAATGAGGGAACGATTTTATTGGCCTGGTATGGCAAGTGATGTTGAACTTTGGATCAAGAATTGTGAACGTTGTTTGAGACGAAAATCTCCTACAAATATCCGAGCCCCTTTGGTGAATATAGAAACTACTCACCCCCTTGAAGTTGTTGCGATGGATTTTCTAACACTAGAACCATCTAAAGGTAATTATCAGTATATTCTAGTTATTACAGATCTGTTCACAAAATATGCTCAAGCAATACCTACACGGAATATGACAGCTCGCACAACGGCTGAAGTATTTTTCAATAATTTTATAGTTCATTATGGTTTACCAAGTCGGATACATTCTGATCAAGGAGCTAATTTTGAGAGTAAAATTATTAAAGAATTATGTAGTTTAGTAGGTATGGATAAATCCCGCACCACAGCTTATCACCCGATGGGTAATGGGCAGTGTGAAAGATTTAATCGGACACTTTTGAATATGCTGGGTACACTTACGCCGGAGAAGAAAAATGATTGGAAAATACAAGTAGCACCTCTTGTACATGCATATAATTGCACACGACATGAAACCACTGGATTTTCACCTTTCTATTTAATGTTTGGACGCCACCCTCGTCTTCCAATAGATTTAGCGTTTGGAGTGAGTCGAGAAGTGTCTAATGTGTCATTACATTCGTATGTAAAAGCGTTAAAGGAACGGTTACAACGTTCTTATGAATTAGCGATTAAATCATCAGAGAATTGTAAAGAAAAACAGAAGACAAAATATGATCGGAAAGTTAAAGGTATTCGTCTTGATATTGGTGATCGTGTTTTAGTACGTACTTTAGCGTTTCAGGGAAAACACAAATTAGCTGATCGATGGGAACCTGGCGTTTACATTGTTGAGGATCAACCTAATTTGGAAATTCCTGTTTTTGTGGTCAGACCAGAGTCTGGGCGTGGACGATCGCGTACTTTACATCGAAATAATTTGTTATCAATCAATAGCGTTGAACCCGTGTATTTTCCGACTCCAAAACCGAGAAAGCGAAAAATAGTAATTGAGTCTAAAGTAGCTGCGGAAAAATGTGTTGAATTAGATTCAAGTTCTGATGAAGAATTTAGTTATGTGGAAGCCAATGATCCTGTAAATGAGAATTACCCGGAGGTTATTCTTACGGGAGGAGGGGAAGGTGATCATGAAATTATCGAGGATATTGTTGAGGGGGATCACAATACCGAGATATTTCATGGGGCATCTAATGACGCATCTGTAAGTAATGAAAATACTGAGGTAAAATCAATTGAAGTTAATGTTTCAGGTGACGCCGTAGATAATAATCCAAGTCCTCTACCGGCAGATGTATCTATTGAAACAAGACCTCGCCGAACATGTAACCAACCTCAATGGATGCAGAGTGGTGATTTTGTTATGGCTCAAATTAATAATCCGTCAGATTGGTATGAGAAAGCTAACTATATTCATTCATTACATCTTTCAGGTTCTTTAAGCAAAATGGCTCCAGAGGTTAGTACGGCATTGTTGTCGTTAATTACTGGTAAGTAAATGACGGGACGTCATTTTTACGGTGGGGGGAAGTATGTAACAGGGTCATATTTTGGGACTCTGTCAATTAATGTTGGTGAAGAATGTCCTGATCAGTGTCTTGATTGTTGGAAGTTTTTAATAAGTGAGTTTATAGTTTTGGTTGTGAGATAATGTAAATTCATTAAAATGTTTTGGGGGATGGATTTTCAGTTGTATGGGTCTGGAATTGTATTGTCCGGATTATGGTGTTTTATTTTAGTGGTTGAAATGTCTTAGTTCTTATATGGGTTTACTTTTAATATTTTTTGGTATAGTTGAAAGGATAACTCGTTGGACTCTTTATAGTTCTGAAGGTGGTCTCTTTCTGAAATATTGTTTATCAGGTGATTAGTAATTCTTTGTCCTGGTTGGTTATTCAGAAGTTTAGCTGGGATAAAACTAAATTACACGCATGCATCAGTACCACATGTTACAGATTTAGTGAAGGTCAATACCGGCTCTTTTCCACAAATGGGTAAGCTATTTAATTTAACTTTCTTGTAATAGATGACTGCAAGTGGACTGTGAGTTTCATGAGTGTTTGATATATAATTATATATGTAATTCAAATACTGTAAGGTAAAAATTGTAGGATGTGTAGCCAATAGAACTGTTGGTTACGAATATATGGATAATGGCAACTATTGTATTTTCAGGGCCAACTTGTCGAGCATAAATGTATTTTGTGTTATAGTTATGTGTAGTACCAACAGAAATGGTGTTTAATGGTTATGGTGAATTGAAATACATCTAGATCGACCAACATCGACTACGCGCTTACGCGTTTCATTTAATTGTTTTAAACTGTATCATGTGTCATTTGTGGATTATATAAACTTATTTAAACCTTATCGTGTTGTCAATCAAGAAATCTATTTTCCCGAACTAAGCAGGTTCAATCTATCAACTTTACCACACCATTGCAGGTGATGGAAAGGGTAGGTCTGCAATATATAGCCTCGCACATTGATAAATAGCCTACAAATTTGAGATATTTACGCGCCCCCACAGCCATTTTTATACCGATACTTGAATGTGTCGGATGCCCCGGATTGATGTTCTACCAAAATGATTCCAAGTGCCGCTTTAAAGTTAGATGCAAATCTGTAAGAATCTCTATGTTAGAAATTGATAGTATGTCGTCGAACAGATACTACATTCTAAGATACAATTATGCATCGTTAAAAATTGTCTGGTTTTAAAAGTCATCGTAGACTCGATTGTCTACCTAGCGAAATTTAGTGAGTATTGCCACTGGTTGACGGAATCTAGAGTATGAACTTTGATCCCAATTATTTAATTCCAATCCGTTTCTCACCTTGGTATTATTATATCTACTGAAAGAGAACCGATTTCAGACGAGCTATTTGATAATCTCGGTAACGAACAAGGACGTAACAGACTTTAGACATATTATACTTATAGGCCTAGTCACAGTTTGATGTTATTTCTGAAATATTTTCCACGTTACAGGCGCCTGTGCCTTGAATAGACTCACATTTGCGTGAACGGAACAGAACATTAGACTCGAACAATATGCCTATATATTGACAAAGCGTTATAATGCCATCGACTGGACGCCGGTCCTTGCCAGGCCCCCATCCTGCACCACTAACAAGGGTAAACTCCAGGCTGAAACCTTTGTACAGTCTGTCGGCCGATGACACACTCAATAGTGCTACTACAAACTGGGCGATTCACAATAACCGTGAATATGATAGTGGTGAGAGAGCTACTGGTATAAGATCACAGATCAGGAGTGGAAGAATGATGATATAATGGAATCGAGAGCCGAGGGCGCGAAAACATTTCAGACGGCTACGTATAATATTTATGTAACAGCTTTTGTAAATATGTAATTTGGTTGGGACTGGATCTGAGGGGGCGCTTACTTGATCTCATGGGGCAGGGGGGGGGGCTGCCCCTCACCCGCCCTAAAAATCCACGCCCGTCCTACAGTTTACGCCTAATGTATATAGCAACCCACCCACTGTCATCCGGTTATTCATTGAAGTTAATAATGGTTTATTATTTGTTCACATATAGGCCGAGTAAACACTTGTGTTCAGATTAAAATTCTCAACGTGAACAAGGAAGATCTTTTTTTTTTAACATGTTTAATGGTCATAGATAAATTTGAAATCCTTTATCCTGTTGTCATAATCGAACATTGTACTTAAACCTACTTTCGCAATCTCAATTTGCATATTTATAAAGACATATGAACGACATTTTAGTTCAGCTGGGCGCTCCTGTATAAATAATAAGGTTGAAGAATGCAGCTTTATCTGGTGTGAACAGACAGTCCGTGTAATCAAGGTTAGGATCCCGGATGTTCACAACAAGGAGACACAATACTCTTACCCCGTGAATAACACGAAGTTTAAATATTTCTATAGAGAGGGTGGCTGTGGTTCCAAGAATTAAAATTATCACATCCGTTTCTAATTTCTAGAATATTCTGATTGGGGACTTCCCAATGAACGTTCAACTACAGCATGAATCTGAAAATAAACCAGACAGTTTTTGATGTTCATATCTAAGTATACCTGGATAAACACAGGGGCGGATCCAGGAGTTTTTGGCAGGAGGGGGTTTGCCAGTCTCCTGTTAAGGACATTCGATGCCATTATCGTCTCTAAATTACGTAGGCATACATACACGCTGATTTTTTTTTTTAAAGAGAGAAATCCAACACCCTTTTGACGTCAATTTTTATAATGAATTAATAGAATCGCTGATGGAAAGCATTAATTTTCGTATCACATAATATATATGTCTATATCATTATCTAGCGCTTTGAATGCCCCCCCCCCCCGACTCGCCCCTGCAAAATCGACATGTCCTCATGCTGGCCAAGATAACGTACCGTAGAAGTTTCTAAAATAATTCTCGATTGTTGCAGTTTGAATTTTGGTGTTTTGTCTGTTAATTAGCAAAGGAAAACACAACACAACCTAGACGATTCAAAATGTCAAAGTCAATGACAAGACCCTTTGTTGCGACATAAGCAAACAACATATACCGAGTATCCAAATTCACCCCAATGACAAGATCAAAACAATACGATCAGCTATGTGAACATGTCACATTAGCCTACATCATCACACATGAGTCAAGCTACAAGTGACATCAGGTGTTCCGGAAGTAGTGCTGACCGAGTTCACAACAGATCAACCGAATAAAAAAGAATTTTGCACGTATCCAAATAGATGTGTAATTCATCATTATACTAATAGTAAGTAAACGGGTACTGCACCACATATAATTTACACAAAACCAAATCTACGGACAAGACACGATACGCAGAAATCACAAACAAACGTACACATCAAATTAAGTGAATGGATCCGGGGGCTAGCCGTAATTAAGCGTTGTACAGTCCCGGGCCTGTAGTTATACAGACTTCACCTAAAATTAAAAACAAACAATTCAGGAATATAACCCAGAAAAAAAACACTGTGTAATACCAGCACGAGTGCTATATGCCACATGAAATATAAATGTAAGCATATTGAAGTAACACTTTGGACAGTGATTTAAGGTATTATAAACGGTGAAAGTATTCTTCGTCTCCATACAGTATTGTTTACATTGTATTCCTGTTGATAGCATCGTTTGTCACGCAGTTAGTTTTTCTGCAATATTCTGCTATGCACTGGTTAATTGTGCATAATAAAATCGTCAGCCATGACGTAACGTTATGTAAACATAATTATTTGGTCAAAGTTGGAGTTTTGTTTTAAATGTAACGATATTGTTACGCAGTTAGCTATTGGTTGTTAATCGGACCATTGACCAGTTATAATTTGGAACAGAAATTTGCTTCCATTAAAACAGTGTTTAGTGGGATTAGCTCTAATCAAACGAAACACTGCGAGTTGTATATCAATGACTGTTTACACATTTTTGTTATATAACTAAAGAAGCTCGTGCTTTTAAACTTTGTTGAGCCAAAATAAAATCGCCTCATATTTTCATGTCGCTGAGCATAAAGGTTGCACTTGGTGTGTCCCTGTTTTATTTATTTTGTCATATTTAAAAGTTCTTATTTGTTACATAAACCAAAGTTTATGTTTTATTTGCCTCTATTTTTAAATCACTGTGCAAACAGTTGTATTTCTGTACATATTTAGTCAACTACAGTGGAATTCCAAGTCTTTGGGCGAAGATGGTCTGCACCGCGAGCCATACGAGTCATGAGACTGACTCGTTGACCAAGCACAAATTATAGAAGATAGTTTACGTCAAAGGAATTTTACATGATGTAAAGGGTATAGCAAATTCGACGAGAAGCAGGTTAGACACACTTATACAGGATAGTACGCGAGCTTAAGGGAGGCCTATTGAAGATAGGTCCACATTGACCCTAGCTCTCTTCAACTGTTCACGCTAAAAATATTTTTATGGATGTGTATATATACAGTGAACAAATTGTTCAGATTAAAAATATCCTAAAATGGGCGATTGAACAACTGGCAGTCACGAGCACTTCTTTGATTGGTTAAAATAGATGTATACCCAGAAAGACGTTTCTATTCAACTGTTATTTTTTCATCGAATGCACTCAATATCAGACTAATTGTCAACACAGACGCGGTATAGACTAAACAAAAAAAAAACCCACACAGTTAAAGACGACAGTGAAAATCAATAGCGATTTTTAGGAAGAGGTAAGTAAATATCTTTATATTTGAATTATATAATTTCAATATTTTAAATCTTTAATGCTTTTTAAATTACGTATTTTATATAATTTTTCACAATACTGCAGACAGCTGTTAGGAACATAATATTCATTTTATTACCACAACGGTCATAAAGACATGCTGATATATATTTCATGATAAAAGTAATATTTCTTTATGCTGTACATATTAATTCTTTGAGAACGCGTAGCAATCTGTCTATAAATAAAATAAGTGTAATTATTGGTCGTAAAATAATTAACTCTTATTTTCGATCAAGGAATTTACCGGAATTTAGATGTTTCATTCGATAATAAAAGCTTATAACATATTGATTGCTGGTCACGATTTGTCACGAAGGGGTTTTGTCTATAACAGAGAAACCGAAGGTAGTCTAGTTAATCAGATGGATCACATGAATTATTCATAGGACTAGAGATTAAAGGTACAATACGGTTGGTATTGTTATACTTAAAATTTATTGTCCTAATTGGAGTCCTAACAAGGATGTTCCGGGTTGGAGTCCGGTTTTAGCCAAGAAAGTTGATGAGGATTTTTCATTTTCAGCGAGGTTTGCCCATGTCATTGTGCAGAACGGAGGGCACTCGAAGAACAGGGTCTAGTCGTTCGAATAATATGAAAAACCGAGGTCCGTGTACACGTTGGCTACCGGCGTGCACGCAAAAAAAACTTTTACAGTGGGACTATTCCTCATATCATACATGACGTATGCCTATCTGCTTTTGGTGTAGAAAAGAAGGACTGTAACCTCCCATTTCGTGTCTTTTCTATAAGTGAATGTTTGTTTAACCGCTGCTATGGCAAACCATTTATATTGTGGCTATAATATACAGGCATAATACTATGAGAAATGGTGCTGTACTCAATATGCTATTTTCTTTTTAGTTTTAACGGGTTTAACAGATGAGAAGTCAACACAAGTTTGTTAACGTTTAGCTGCTATTTACTTAAACATTAAAATATCGTCTGAAGTTTTTAGGGTCGCTTCCTGTTGCTGTAGTTACTGGACCAACAGGATTTTAAATTACACCGCTGTAATGAGAGTGAGAAGTGTGGTTCAACGTCCACTCGACACAAACTAGGTCATTTCGGGACTAACACCAGGGGCGGATCTAGGAATTTTGAAAAGGGGGGGGGGGCGCTGCAAAATGAAGGCATTGAACGCGGAGACGGGGCACGCCGCTGAGGGGGGGGGGGGGGTCCCAAGAAAATTATCCGTCATTTCCTTGCATCTGTAGCCATTCCAAGAGCTATTTCCCAGACTGGTGTGTTTGAGTCGATGGTTTGAGTCATTTGGGATCCCTACAACGGGTTGGGAATGGACATATTTGAGTCTGAGAAAAGGCACATTCAGCAGTAAAAAAGGGCACTGTCGAAAATTAGGCGTAGGGGGCCTCGCGCCCCCCATTGAATCCGCCTCTGAACACATGGTTCAATTTTATTTCAATAATACGCTTTAATAATAGGGGTCTTTGGCAGTGGGGGGGGGGACCAGACAGGCGACCCTACTCCTTGTCACGTACAACTGGGGAATCCGCTGTAATGATCTAAGACGCGCCGACAACGCCTACATATAAAACTGTCACTTTGACAATCACTGAAATATAATTTTTGATTACATGATATTTACTATTCAGATGAAATTGACCATAACTTGTGCACCTTCCAATCTGCTCATTCATTGGTAGCATGCAGATTTTGTAGTTTCCCTGGACAAAAAGTATTCCCACTGTAAAGTAATCCTAACATATGGAAACGTAATCCTATTTATAAGGGGGCCATGGTGGGTAAGTGGGTAAGACGCTGGCTCGCTAGTCTGGACAGCTGTCGTTACTTGGCTTGCACATAAAAGATCCCTTGGCAGTTGGAATTCGATATAAGAGTAGGCCATAGTGCCGCTGCCCGGGTAAAATTTCCCTCCTAGCACACTGTATGGCATATGCCCGTTTTCATTAGCCCGGTCGGAACAGAACAGTAGGACGGTAAACCCCATTTCATTTCATTTACTATTTATAAAATATGCCAGTCTAAAATGAAATGAACTGTACGTTAATAGGCATAATGTTGGTCTCATAGTAACTGGTCATTCAGGGTAGACGATCGACAGCATTTCCTCAATTAACACCCAACACACGATGCAATTTTATGGAAACGCAACTACTAATTTTATTTCTATGCTACAGCTATTGTTATTTTTTGATTTGATAATGATACGTTTGTTGTTGATCACATGCAGTGTAAGTGTATATTGTGTGTCTTGTCCGCGGGTTTGTCTTATAGGCGTTTGTTAATATGTGTCGCGGATCCAGAATCTCGGAAAATCAATTCTATTTTAGGTCATGATATTATTAATTATGTCTACAAAAGTGCCCCCCTTTTCAAATTATTTAGTATTTCATTGTTATTTTTATTGTATTTCTACCATCCACACATCTGTATCGTCTGCTTGATCCTCGTCAAAACGTTCCACAGTAACATTATTAGTTACAAATCCATAAAATTGTTCTCTTTTGACGTATTATGCAGTCATCCCTGCCCGTCCGTTTGTGAACACTCTAGACGTCACATTTTTTACATGATTTTGATGTAACTTCATGATGTAATTCCCCTGATTGTACACAAAAATCGCGTTTTTTTAGCTTGTGGACAACTGCTATTTGATTTTAAAAAATCGTTCAAATATATTACACTTACACCATAACTATGCTTGAGTTCGAATTTCGTGACAATCGAACCGAAACCTCTCGTCGAAATAGCCGCCCCCATTACGCAAATTGAGTAAAAGCATGTTATACGTGTACCTGGGGTTTGGACCCTCTAGATTGTGTGTGTGTGTGTGTGTCCTATTTACATGAAACAATAAATTCATGTCAAGGATCAGAATATCTTGGATGAGTTTGAATTTTGTGCGCATAATACAGCCCGTGTCAGATTTATGTTCCCTTTTGGCGCAAAATGTGAAATATATACAAAGCTTGTGGACCCCCAAAAGGCGACAATTTCGTCCGATTTTGATGTAGCTTCAAATGTATATTAAGGATTACAAGTTCTTAGATGGGTTTTGGATCTTTAGTCGCAGAGTTATTTCCCCCGTTTTCGAAGCAAAATGCGAAATATGTATAAAGTTTGTGGACCCTCTATAGGTGAATATTTTTGTTTAATCCAAACGAAAATTACATGTTCAGGAGTAAACAATCTCTGATGGGTGTTTTTGGTGTACACCAGACCTCCCGTTCCAGAGTTACCCCCCCCCCCCCCCCCGATAAAGGCTATAATATTATTAACCCTATCGATATTCAACGATCCGTGAAATTTCGTCCCGTCACTACCCTCCCCCCCCCCCCGCTCTTTCCGAAAACCTTATGAACGTGATAAAGATTACAGTTCTGAACAGATTTTTTTCGAATTGGCCTATCTATTGATTGCAAAAGTGGGCGTATCTGGCATGGCAACCGCTTGTGTTAATTTCATTGACTCATCAAAGTTACATTAAACAATCACGTAATAATTTGAAATCAAGGTTATTATATCTTTCAATAGGGTACTCTTGTTTGTAATCTGGCTAAACTAAGCTAGACCATGCTTAGACTTATAAAAACGTCTTTAAAATAAATTTTTGACAAATAAAACCTCCATAAAGCCGAGATAATACAGGTATTATCATAAAATCTTCAACAAAAGAAAATGCCAGTAACCACCATTAATATGTCCTACATAAATAATAGATTTTAAAAAAGACAATTTTTCATCTCGACTTCTTTCCGGAACTTAAACGAAGATTTAGTAAGATTATAACAGGCTTAGGAAGTACTTGCTGAGACCCCATGTTGCTTGGTTCAGAGATTTAGTTTCGTGTTTGATGAGTAAAGTAAAAATTAAAAAATCTAAGAAAAAAGTCTAGCCTTTTATTTATAAAATCTTTCTTGAATGGGTCGATTTTGAGTCAATGATAGCGTGATCGGTGACTCCCACATGTGTCGGGTGGAGTTAAACTTAATAATTAAATAGCGCGTGATAATTACCCCCCATTGACCGAATTTTCTCACGTGAGATTAAGAAATGTTTGATCTGTGTAATATTTACTTTAAAATAAACTTGTCTTTGTTTTCTATTTATTTATGATAGGGGGCTTATGTTTAGTAAGAAATATTATAAAATATATCACAGATGTATATCTCGTGACCTTGGTAAAGTTCATTAGTTTAAAGTAGGGATAGACTTAGAGCAAGACTAATACTTGCAAGGCTGAATTGTACTCTGTATTAATTTATATCGATAAGTGGAAGGTGATTTATCAAGGCGTATGCTTCCCATTAATTAACCGATTATTAAATATAATTCTTGTTTTACTAGTCCTTATTTATGGCTCAGTGAGGAAGACACTGACTCGCTCACCTGGAAGTCCTATGTTCGATCCCATTATTGGCCGCTAAAGTTCCTCGGGATTTTGGGGCGTGGTCTCCCCTTATCAGTGATGCAGGACGGAGGGCTTGGCACGAACAGCACATAGTCGCTCGGATGGGACGGAAAATCGAGGTCGCGTTTTCACGTTGGTGTGCACGTAACAGTACCATTGACAGTTGGAAGTCAGTTGACAGTTGACTGTCCGGGCAAAAGTACTGCAATGTGAATCTTCGGTAATAACTAAAGACTGGAACTATCCTTGAAACTATTTATTACTGGAAAACATTAAGCATCATATACGGAGAACAGTACGTCCAGCAAGCAGAGTAACTCTCCTGGACACGGGATGAAACCTAGAATGCTATATAAATGTACAAATCGTTATTTATAATAAAATAGTATCTAAGGAATTAACAATATACACCAACGTTACTAATAACAATTAAAAAGGTAAGATTAAAATTAAATACCAGAGACACTGCAATAAAATAGAACTATAGGGTAGCTCCATCTTCATTAGTCTGGTAAGTGCAGAAAGTAGGACGTTCAAACCCATTTCA